TTTGAGCTGTTTGCATCCCAGACTGCCGCCGCTCAACCTGTGCCGCAAATTCATCAGGCAGGAACAGGGCAAGTCCCTCAGATTTTCAACATAGGATCTGTGGGAGGGCAGTCGGGGGGTGGATCGCAAAATGGTTCACAGCATGGTTCTAATCCTGGGTCGCCAGATCACTCGGATAGCTCATCAAGCGAATCCAACAAGGGTGGAGGCGGCGGGAGACCAGGAGGTTCGCCAGGAGGCTCGCAAAGACCTCCTCAGGGCCCCTCAATTCCCTCTCAAGGAAATCAGGGAATGGCCCAAATTGACGGGGCAATCGATGCCTACTCAAGGGAAAAGAAACTCATGCGTGTGAAGGCATATGATGAGATGAAGTTGCCTCAGCTGCCCAAAACGGCGGCAGACGCTCGCCTATTCAGGAACTCGGTTTTCAACCTTGTGTGCCGAGTGGAGATGTAAGGGGAAGGTTTCCGTGCATAAGGACAACTGGCAAGAGACTCCGTATCAAAGGATTTCATCCAAAAGTTGGTTTGGTACGACGTGGTTCTTTCCGAAAGGACGTGTGTCGCCAGATCAAGCGCAATTGTGTGCAGCCGCAGCCAACCCTTCAGACGGTAATCTCAGAGCTACGCAAAGGTTCATCGAGCAAGCCGGTGACAGCCAAGCACGAACTAGGAAGGTCAGAGAAATCCTTGAACTCACTAAGGACTTGGTCAAGCCTGCACGTGAGGACCGCAAAGGTCGATCGGCGAATCCGACACTCTTTGAGTTTTGTTGCGATGAGAACTCAACGTTGGGTCAGATCAACGAAGAAAGAGGAATCAACCATTTCCGACTCACAACAAAGAACTCTGACATGTCAAGCCAGTGGGAATCTGACAGTCTTTTGAAGGTCATAGAACAATTTCCCGGGTGTGATTTGTGGGGATCGATTCCTTGCGGCCCCTGGTCGCAATGGCAGAATGTAAATCTCCATCAATACGGAAAACCGTTTGCTAAGAAACTCAAGAAAATGCGCAAGCATTCTAGGAAAATTTTAGCAAACTACATTCGTTGCGCAGACACAGTCCTCAGTCAAGGGGGCCACGTTGCCTTCGAGTGGCCGAAGACATGTGCCGGATGGGACTTGCAAGAGCTGATCAGGTTTGTCAAGAGGCATGACTTGTTCGTGGCGGAACCTCAAGGTTGCGCATTTGGACTCTGTGACCAAGAAGGTAAATGTCACCTCAAGACGTGGAGAGTTGTAACCTCTTCATGGAGGTTGGCTAAAAACCTAGACAGTGCCAAGTGCCAACATCCGCGTGACTATAAGCATTCACCTCTTGCAGGCAGTAAGACACCTAGAAGTGCCTTTTACCCGATGCCTATGGCAAGGTGCGTTTCTCAGTCCTTATATCCCTGGATTGACGCACCGCCTGCAATGCCTGTGCAAGTGTCAGCTGGGCCAAACTCCGTGCAAGAGTTCCTGTGTGGCGACCACGCCCCAGAGGACGAGGCAGGTCATCAGGAGCTGCCAGGAGTAGAACATGTGTTTGCTGGCATCCACAAGTTGTTGGAGAGAAAAGAATGGGGTAACTTTCCTGGAGCGCAAGACGCCATTGACAATGAAGTGAATGGGCTAGTAGCCAACGGAACCTGGACTTTCGATGAGGTAATCTCAAAAGAGGACCTTTTGGCAAGATGTAAAAGGAACAAGGAGCATATCAACATTGCTTCCCTAATGACCATCTTGTCGATAAAGCATTGGGAAACCCCAGAACTCCGTAAACTCAAAGCCAGGATAGTTTTCCGAGGGGATCACATCCTCACGGAAGACAACAATCTTGCGGTGCTCCAAGAAGCAAAAGTCACTCCGACCGGAATGACCGGTGTCAACATCAATCTAGCATACGGCGCCATCAAGGGTCACGAAACTCGTCAATCAGACGTAGTAAAAGCCTACACCCAAGCGTACCTTGGGACAAAGGTGCCCACATGGGTGATCTTGCCTTGGGAATTGACTCCTCCTGAATACCGGCACTTCAAACAGCCGTGTGTGAGGTTGGTCAGGAGCCTTTATGGCCATCCCGAATCAGGATACCATTGGGATCAAAGGCTAAGGGAAGTGATGAAACTTTTGGAAGGTCAACATGTTGATGAATGTCCATCTTCATTTTGGTTTCCACAAAGGAAGCTTCTTGTAACTTGCTACGTCGACGACATTCTGTGCTCAGGGCCGTCGTCAGAACAAAACAAGTTTTGGCAGGAGATCGAAAAGCATTTGGAGATCGAACATCCAACTCAAGTTGAACGTGTGCTGGGCAGACAGCATAAATTCGATCGGACCACTGGATCGACCAAGGTTTCGCTCGAAATGTTCGATTTCATCGAGAACGCATGTGCAGTGTATGAGGACTTGGCTCAATGTAAGTTGAGCACAGCTAAAAGTCCTTTCTGCCCAGAAGGTAGCCTTACAACCGCTGACTTTGAAAGTAAAGGGGTTTTGGCAACTTCTGCATGCAAAATCTTGATGAAAATCCTCTGGTGCGCTAGGCTAAGCCGACCCGACCTAATGAAAGGGATAGGGGATTTGACACGTAGGGTTACCACTTGGAGTCGAGCAGATGATAAACGGCTCCATAGGCTAATGTGCTACCTGTATGGGTCAAAAGGGTACACTTTACAAGGACATATAGGCGACCCGCCAGAACTGCTCAAGCTGTGCTTGTACACAGATGCGGACCACTGTAGTGGCATCGAACACACAAAAAGCACGAGTGGCATGTTCTTGTCCATTGAGGGCCCTAACACCTTGTGGCCAATCGCGTGGGGCAGTAAACGCCAAACCGCGACTGCCAGGAGCACAACAGCAGCAGAGATGATCTCACTAGGATCAGGCCTTTTCGGCGAAGCATTGCCAGCACAAGGCTTCCTGGAATTGATCTTGGACCGTCAGGTCACGCTAGAGTGCTTTCAGGACAACTCATCTGTAATCCAGATCGTGGCTGCAGGTTATAGCCCCAAATTGCGACACCTCACGAAGACGGAGAAGATCGAACTAGGTTCAGCTTATGAGGTCTTCGAAGATTTAAGTTGTAGACTCCTGTACATAGCAACGGACAAGCAGAGAGCAGATGTGTTTACAAAACCATTGCCGGTGTGCAAGTGGGACCATGCACTAGACCTACTTAACATGGCATCCTTAAGCTCAACTTGCAAAGTGCCATCTCGTGAAGCGGAAACGCTCCGAGACCCGTAGGCGTAGGCCAGATAGTTAAATAACTAAACTGGAGTCTGCGTAGGACACTTTCCGAGTGTGAGAAGGGGGAGAAGAATGCTCCCTGCTGGAATCCACATTTTCCTGATGGTAGGTGGTGCATGCGTGTCTAATTCAACCTTGCCCCCGGAATTCATGTTTGCTTGAACTTCCCTTTGAATCAGGTTTCCAGGGTTGACACTGATAACAAACATTCAGTTCGCCTTGGATGACTTGTACATTTGGCTCAAGATAAAAGGAGGGTCGCGCGAGTGAAGCTTTCTGTGCCGCCATTGCACTTTTGGTTACACTCTTCACTTCATTTGTCTTGATTCGTATTTCGTCTGGTTATCAGCCGTCGCTTTTGAGCTGCGACCGATAGCTACGGCGGGTGAGGGCGTCGAGCATCCGGGAGTTGCACCGGAACTGTGGAACCTCTTCGGTTGGCATCGAGCCGGACGAAGAGGCAAGTCACAGAAACTTGGTGTACTACGTGACGGATTGGCCGAGGGGGTTTTATCAAACGAACCTCCATTTGTGCTGGATAGCACCTGGGACAGGCTTGCACGTGCAAAAGTCAACTGGGAACAGCTACAGCTCTACGAACAGGCCTTTTGGAACGAGCAACACTCTTCACTTCATTTGTCTTGATTCGTATTTCGTCTTAAAGCGGCCCCGGGCAGTGAGAGGCAGTGGCCTGACCGCAGGAATCAGCACCTGTCCGACTTCAGGTTGACCGTTCTCTAAACGAACCTTCGGGCCAAGGGCAGCTTCCAAATGGGGGGTCCTCTCAAGACTGGTTGGTTTCCTCCTGAAACCGCCTTTATAGCCGCAGTGAAGGAAACAGAGGGTGCGATGCACCGCGGAAAGCAGCCCTCTTTAAGCATCCATGCCGGTCAAGTTGAAAGTCGCTTGATCAAAGGTGTTCAAGGAGTGTCTTTTATGCGAGTTTGCCCTGTATGTGTTTTTCTTTTTTTCCGCAAGAACCCTGGCACTCCATTGCGAAAGGTCTTGGCCTTCTAGGCCATTTTTCCTCACATGGCCCCCTGGCCACGTAGACCGCAAGGGTCCATTGCAGGAAGGCCGAAGAGGTGACGTCCCCAAGCCTTGGCTTTTACCCCAGGCAGCTGGTGGTACAGCTGCTGGCGCACCCGCCAACCCGACCGGATTCCGTGAGCCACCTGGATGCCTTTTTCGCTGGTTGCACGTTTGAGCCGAAATCAGCTTGGCCTTTGTTCCTCAGATGGTTTCCAACCCCAAACCACTCACTACCCAGGGGAAAACGGGGTTTGCATACCTTCACAGTCACTCTCATAGTGCTATGTCTACTCTTCAAGCGTGTATTTTCCTTCTCGGTTGTCGAACTCTTTGGGCAGAAAACGAGCAAAGTTTTTCAAGACTTGATGCCGACGTTTTAGCCTCTAATGGGCCATTTTGCGGATTTTCACGTTCTATGGCGTAGTAATCCAAACGATTCAACGTGAACCGTGCAACGTCTTTCGCTGGCACGTGTCGCCTGGTGCAGCACTTTTGTCGCAGAGACCTGCCAAGGGTGGCCAAAGTAGTTTCACCCTCTTTCGAGGAAATGGGAGACCTAACCACACCCCTGTCCCCCAGAGCCATGACTTGACTCGCCTTCTTGCCTTTTGCTCTAGAGTTTTCGATTTTCTCCATTTTCCCATAAGTCCCCATTTCTCTGGACAAGCAAAAAACCGAATTGGCGGGGATGGTTGGCCGTCTCTAAGGCTTTGGCACGGCGGGCTCCGCGATGCGCGGGGCCTGGCGTGGGGCGCTGGCACTTGGGAGCGCCGCGCTCCGCGTGCTGGGCGAGGTGCCTCCACACCTCCCTGGTTTGAGACCCAAAGCACAGACCCTTGAAGCCAAAGGCTAAGGAGAAAAGACTATGGAAGACTACCCTTGACCACTTGGCGACACCTACTTCATGATGTTGTTGGGCCAGTCAAGGACACACCAACTATCCGCGCTCAGAAGTTTCCTCGTTTGACTTGTTGTGTGGGAAAGTGCACGGTCCGTTTGTGGTGGCCCCTCTTGTAGAGGGTCGCTTTGCTTTGCTTTCACAGCGGGCCAAAGGGCGAGCCACATCTTCACGTCGCCCAGTTGCCCTGGCGCCGGGCCATGGCGCACTTTTTCAGCCACACGGAGGCGAGGCCGCGGTGATGGGACACAACAAGCTCAGAGGTTCCTGTGCCTCATGAGTTGTGCTTCCTCTGCTTTTCGGTTGGAGCTGGCTCAGGGGTGTTTATGGTTGGGCGGTTGGTTGGACATTTCCTGCAATTTGGGGCAAGGCCAGATGCAAGCCAACAATCGCCTTATCCAGCGGTTTGGAGAGTTGAATCCAACTCGGAACATTCCCTGATTTGATCCATATACAGTCAAGGTTCCAAAGCCTAGCCTTTTGCACTTTACATGTTGATTTACAACAACTGAACCCTGCTGGAGCAACTGGCTAGATGGGGTCCCTTACAGAACGACTCTTTGACGTTGCCCTTCCAAGACAGAACGCGATAGGACTTTTCAGGGCTTACTTCTGCCTCCTTCCGCCGCTTTAGAGATCCACTGTGGAGGGCGTGAGTGGGGAACACCTAGGGGTACCAAAAAAAACACATCCCGGTGGATTGACCCTCCCAAATTTGACGAGATAACATGAGATAACTCATGGGTTCCCGAGGGCAAAGGGATTCTCGCGACAGGGGCAGCGGAACGTCTTCCAGGTCAGCGGCGCAGTGGCGGCCATGAAATTCCGCTGGCGAGGTGAGGGTTCACAGACCGGAGACAAAGCGTATTGTGTTTTGTTGATACCCTTGTTCAGGATGTCACATCTTACCGTGAACTGACTTGCAGTGTAGGCGCTCACAAGCAAAGACAGGTAAACCCGTGTGGGAGGCTGGATTGGTGGCTCCAGTTGAAAACAGAGTTGAGGGCAACCAGTTTGCTGGCCAGTTCTGACAGGCGCAGCCGCGCTCCTCCACGGCAGCAGGGACCGTGGCATCTCGCAGCCACTTGGAAGCACAAGCCCAGGTTGAAGAAACCTGAAGCAGCCCAACCAAATCGGTCGTTCACTGAAGAGACTCCTCAAAAGTAGTTGTTCTTTGTTTGATGTTCTTTGGTCCATTTTGTTGAAGCTACAAGGTTCACAGGAGCCCGCAGAACCTTCCCCCAACCCCCCAACCCCAGGAGGTCAAGGTTGAACTGATCCCCAAATGAGCTTAGACCAGGGACTGACACAAAACTGGTTCGCTCACTCCCGTCTAATAGTCGAAAGGGAAACGATCTCTGAACAGACTGAATTTCCCCGTCAAAAGCTGCGCTTTCCAAAACCGGGAATTGAGAGACCCGGGTTCGACCTTTTGGTGGATCCAAGGCGTGTGCCACGATTAGTCAGGATTCCTGTCATGAGACTGCAAATGGTCCCTGCAACTCTGAACAGAAGCAATGTTGCTTGCTCGTTGGGCAAACCGACCACTTTTAACACTGCGCAGGAATCACAACCGAATCGGCTTCCCCATGCTTCAAGGATACCGATTGGCGGAGTGTCAAATGGCCAACGATCTTAGTTTTTTAAAGGGTAATCAAGTTGGATATATCATTACAGGATATCACAGGCACATAGGGAGATACTTCGCAGGACTGTGGTCAGTTGTGGGGCGCTTTCTGCCTACGGCGCGTGGGAATTCGCGCTGCTGCAGCTTCGGTGGATGTCTCCTGACCGGGAGGGGGAATCCGGGAAGGGCTGGGGAAGGGGGCTGTTCATGGAAACGCGGAGGCCATGATCGTGGCGTTGGTTGCTGGTGGCTTTGCTGGAGGCATAGCCATGATCCAGGGCTCCCTCAATGTGCCCTTGTCGAACCTCCAAAAGTGGAAGCTTGATTTGAGCTCGCCAGCAAATTCATTCACTCTTGAAGGATACTCCAGGCCTTATGCTCACGTCAGGCGAGAGGGACTGGGGAGGACAAACCTTTCCGCTTCAACCAAAACCAGTAGGGACTAGGCATGCGAGCCAAGACGGGGCCCGGTGTCCCTTCAGTTCCCTCAAATTCCTGGAATATTGGCGGTTTGGATTGGCGGTTTGGAGCTTCCCTGTTTCGACCCCCAGGCCGTTGCACCGACTGGCAGTCGACGCCTTTGGTGCTGCCCGTCGCATTGGTGCCATGCGCACCTGGCGCAAAGCCGCCGCGGCCGGGTGGGTGCGGGGCGATGGACGGTCGGAAAGTGGGGCACCCCCACCCCGGTTTGGAACTTATTTGTCATCATTTTCCATTTCGAGGCTTTAACTAGGTTCAGTAAGACTAAGTATGGTCCAGAATCACTCTTGGTTGGGGCGCAAGGCTGAGGAAGCCGCGTGGTGGACACGTATAGTCTATTGCCGTTGCGGCCGCCCTAAGGCTACACGCAGGCTACATGCAGGCTACATGCAAGCATGCACAGCATCCAAAGCAGAGAAATCTAGCGCGGTTGACAGGTGCACGCGCAGACCATGCGATCAAGAATCCAGACAACTGGATGTGCAACGGTTGCCTGTTTACTGTTTGTTATCTTGCTAGGGATGGCGGGTGGAAGACTCAAAGGGATGCATCAAAACAATTGAGTGAACATATAGCAGTCGGCATTGGAGCGGGCAGTTTGGAGAGCAACATGGAGAAGGTCCATAATATTTGGATGAATGATGAATGTGTGCTTGAGTAGGAAACCATTTTGGGGGGCAAGGTTCGTTGTGAAACTAAGCGGGGGGGGGCTCTTAGGCATCCAAATTGGTAAGCTTTGTGGTTGAATACTCGTTTGCAATTTCAGGCCTTCGAGACGAGCAAGCTGGAAGTGGCAACCGCCCCATGGCCGGTAGATACCGTGGCCAGCGTTTTCCTTTGTGCAACCACGGATCAAAGCTCCTCTGCATGTTAATAACACACATATTAATATATAGATATATAGATATATATAGATATGTTTGGTTCCTTTGGTACGTTGTAGTTTGGCTGCTGTAATGCCGGGTTGTGATCATCACTCAAGTGGGCCTGCCATACTCTTCGGTTCGGCCATGTTCTGTGGATCCTTCGTGCAGCTCGGTTGCCCTCTTCCAGGTTCACCGGGGTGTCTTGTTTATTCGCTTACACGGCCACCGGCCAAGGAAGCCAACCACTTGATTTCTTTCCAGTTTTGGACGTGCACCCAGCAGCTGGCAACCTCTCCAGCGTTTTGGGCAAGTGAGGCAAAGGACCATGTTTGACGAGCCCTAAAACCACCCTAATCCTAATCCAACACACACACACACACACCCTAATCAGCCTAGACCAACCCAAACCAACCCTAAACCCACCTTGAACCAGCACTCAAGCTAATTACCCTAAGCCAACCCTGAACCCAATTTGAAATGAACTATTTCAGCGCGAAACCATCCTAAAACAGTCCTAAATAAAGCCTAAACCGTCCCTATGCAAACCGGAAGCCAACCTGAAACAAACCGTAAACCCATCCTAAAGAAACCTAAGCCCCGCCCAAGCCCACCCTAAACAAACCTTGAACCCCAAAAGCCTAAACCAAAGCTTCTGGTGATGCCGGGAAACAATGCTTGAGGTGCCAGAAACGATGCTGGGCTAGTGCAACACAGGTGCATTTTGTCAGCAAATGCTGTGCATTATATATATATATACATATATGTATATAGTGCCTGCGAACCTGGGGAGACCAAAAACACCTTTTCATGGGAATTGCCTGCTTTGAAAGATGCCTCCAGCGAGATTTAGCAACTGGTCGAGAAGGGTGTATCGGTGTATGTGTTGTTTGCCTTCTTCGCATGTCACATGCATTGGTGCAAAGAGGGCTCCTTCTGGGGGTTGGCTCAGCAACACGGCCAGGCTTTGTCACCTGCTTTCCTTGCCTGACGCCGCCTTTTGTTTTTGCTTCGCAGCTGAAGCTTTCGCAGCCTGAAACAGGTTGGAGCCGCCAGTGAGTTTGCCCCATCTGACGCTCAGGGGGTGGTGGGGAAGAACTTGCTGCTGAGCGCCCTGGAAAAGGCCGGCGAGTGTCGCGGCACGCATGTGTGGTGTTGCCACCGGCTGAAGGCATGAAGGTGCCCCCCATGGGTCCCATCTCAAAGCCAGAAGCACCCAACTATATGCTCGTTCTGAGGTACTGTGAAGTCATGCAATGGTGTTGTTTGAGTCAGGGCGCCCAGGAGCCACAACTACAAGTGTCTAGCACACTACCCAGATACGGTTCCCAGAATGTCCATGTAATTGAAAAGAAACCACCGGATAGATGTCATCAATGTTTCCCAGGCCCGGCTCCCCGCGGCCTTGCCACCCATTTGCTCACCCGAAATGTGTGGTGTGGTTGGTGGTTTTGGAACTTGAACTACCTTTGCTTTGTGGTGGCTCGCCAAATGCATCTTAACATTTGATACTGGCTCAACACCTTCCAGGCCCACTGCCACTTGCCAGGTCTGGCCTCGGGCAATGTTGGTGCTTCGGACCGGCGTCCGCGCCAACGCTTCGGCCTTACTGGCTATCTCACTTTCCCAGCGCGCGGACTTCGCCTGTTTGGGGAGATAAGTTTTGCCGCAAACAAACCGCCTCCACGTTTTGAGCAGTCCACTCAGGACGTGAGTTGCAGGTGAGAAGGAAGTATAGGGTCTGTCCGGGTGTTCTTCAGAATGAACAAACATGAGGTTTACAGCCCCCGTCTTCGCCGCTTCGGCCTTGAGGTGGTGAGCTTCAACTGTGCGCTGAGCGGCCTAGAGAAGGCAGGCTACTGGCGCCGGGCCTTGCCCTTGCTGGACTCACTGGCGACAGCTCCTCAGCTTGCAGGATGTAGCAACTATTAGCAACTGCGTGGTGTAAAGTGATGCCCCAGGAACACACTCCTAAAACCTCCACCGGGTAGATTCGTTCAGGGTTGGTGGCCGAACACAATTGTATACTTTTGTACTCTTTTTTTTCCGCAACAAACGGTGTACCTCCCTCAAGCAAAATGTTTGGGGCCTAAAGAGGCATTTTTTTCATTGGAACCCGCTAGATGTACCCTGGCGTCGGCAACAGGACTCCGGATTGGAAGTTCCTGCCTTTAAGTCGCCAAACATCTAGGCAACAGTGTAGATGCCCTTCTGGGGGGGGGGATCGATCTGTGTTGGCCCTTTTTGGCAATGTGTTGGGGTGACACCACAGGTGGGGCATCCACGTGGAACTTCAGGTCACGATCTCGCCGGACATGGTGAGCTGCAGCGCTGCCATTTCGGCCTGCGAGCAGCAAGGCGCGTGCGCTGCTTGCGCTTTTCCTTTCTGCGAGTCAGGTGATTGGTCAGTTTTTTTGTTGGTTTCAGGTGTTGAGCTTCATTCGTGTGGAGTAGACATCTTGGCAGCAAGGGCCCCCAGTTCAATTCGTGTGCACAGGATGCACTTGGGCACTTGAACCAAGGGGCCAAGTAGTCCCCTTCCAAGCGCGAGTCAGGAAAGTGGCGGCAGGCGCAGCAGCTCTTAGCGCGCGAGGCACGGTGACCACTGGGAGTTTGTACAGCCCAAAACAAACACATCGTGCCCTGAACGATTTTCAGCCCTATCCGCATGCAGCTTCCCATCATTTCAAGGGGTCCATAGCATTCAGTGAAGTGTTGTTCAAGGCAGATTGGATGGGGGGTGTAGCATGTTCCTTTTTTCTAGACGCCCTGCCAATACAACTTTGCTCAGGAGTGGTAGTCTGATGAGGGTAGGCGGTGGCGCGTGGATCTCAAAGTAACGGAAGCTTACCACGCAATGGCGACCCAGGATAGAGTCGTAGCGAGTGCCGAACATGCAGTTGGCTGAGGCTTTCGACTCTTTGTTCCATTAGCGCAGCATTCATCAGTTGTTCTGCGAGCAATGGAAGAGCGCGAGTGAGAGAGATGTAGAGGCTTCAGAATGCGTTTGCGCAGTTTAAACTTGACGATGGATCGTGTTGGTCCAACCAACTTTAGTTTATTTTCATACTCAGCCACCGTCCGGGTCATTCCCAGCCAAGGACATGAAACAATACATATTGAGCGGCCCTTCTGCCTCGGTCAGATCCGTGCAATTGCAGCCACCTTGATGGCCCTGGCTGGTCGGACAGAAGCGGCAGGGTAGGTACGGTGGCATGTTTGGCAGCAACCTCCTGGCTGGTTGGTCGATTATGTTTCTCAGGAGTTGGAGGAAAGATTCGCATTCCAATTCCAGTGTATGTTTTCTTGTTGGTTTCTCTGTCAAACCATCATGCCAGCTGCTTTTCTAAGATCTGGCCACCAATTCAATCCCCGATGCCACTCGCAATCATGTTAACCCCCTTAGAACACAGGGGCAAGCTTGTTTCTGCAATATATTTTTTATTTAACCGTGCAGCTTCCGACGCAACTTGCCAACCCCAACATTTAGACACCTAATGAGGTTCTTGTTCTTCTCGCTTCCCTCAATCGTCAAAAGGCCCATCCCCTTCTCCCGGGACCTTCCGATGCGAGGCCTCTGCGTCAGCCTGCGCAGGGGCCATGAGCGCAGCAGAGAAGGCTGCTCAGTGGCGACCCGCACTGCAGCTGTTGCGAAGGCGCCGTGGGTTTGTCACATGGGAAGCGATCTCCAGTGTTCTGGCTTCAGATCTCTTCAGACGCAGTGTAGGTTTCTTGGAACTTTTCAGTTTTTGTTTTTTTCTATGCGTTGATTGCTTGCTTGTGTTTATGTTCAGTGGTGGCGTCCCCCCAGCCGGAGAAAAACACAAAATGCTTTGGCAGCATGGGGAAGATCTCCCGCACAGGGAATGACATTGTTGCGATCAGGAAATGAATGAAGCAGAAGACTGTCAGATTGTCAGTGTCCACAAGAATTAGGGTGGGGGATCCCTTTGAAATGCTGTGGCGTTCATGGGAAGCCAAAAATGAAGCTAACCATTTTGGGCGACCCAATATTCAGAAACGCCCAAATGTGCAGACCCTGCGGTCTGCAGGTTTACCTGTTTTATTATTTCGTTTTGCACAGAGTTGAAGGATAAGTGCTACACAAATGGGCCCACTGTGCTTTTCAACCAAGACGCCCCGGAAACAATTCGCCATGCTTCATCCCGGAAACAATTCGCCATGTTTCATCCCGCAGGGCCTGCATTCAGTCACCAGAGTTGTTGTTCTGCCGTATGATTTACCGATTTACTTTTTGCATCCCGGACTTAGTCTACAAGTTAACCGTAAGCCCTGGGTAAGAAGTGGTCTGGCAGTCAGACAACTTCCGGGATTTCCCTAAGCGCGGGGAGACAATGAGGCCTGTTCGGCCTGTTTCGTTAATTGTATGTATTGTATGTATTTTGTTGTTTGTCAAGTCCATCTTGAGGTGCTTAATGTCAAGCGGGAAGGACGAGAGCAAGCAGCGCAACAGGATGTGTTGTTCATCCCTCTGTTTGAAGGTGATGTTTGATTGCCGGAACTCCTCAAATCAGAGTCTTGCATTCCGCTTAAAGTGGCGATGCTATATGTGTATCCTCATTTGTGCCCTTTATTCCCTCAGCTTTGCCAAATCAAGCCAAAGCTTAGCCCTCGACACGGGTGAAACGTGTTCGCACACTACTCCCTTTTACAAGGCGTCCAATTGAGGAGTTCAGTAACTGGGGAGCCACAGCGCAGGCTCGAGGCGTGAGGTATTCATGTTATTAGAACTAGACCACGGTTGGCCCGAAAGCAGAACATCGCAAGCGAGGTCGGCCCAACGCTGCAGGATGCGTTCTTTTTCCCTACACGAAGCATTCGTGAAGCAAGCGCGAGACAGCACCAGGCAAGGTGCTCTGTGCAAGTTGCTCTGTGCAAGTTGCTCTGCGTAAGTTGCTCTGCGCAAGTTGCTCTGCGCAAGTTGCTCTAGGCAAGGCGCTCTGCGCAAACTGGTCGGTGCAAGTTGGTCTGCGCAAGTTGCTCTGTGCAACTTGCTCTGCGCAAGTTGCTCTGCGCAAGTTGCTTTAAAATGCAAGTTGCATCTTGCGACGCCCGCCCGCGGACCAGGGAGGAATCGAACCCGCGACCCGCCGGTTCCGGGAGCAGGCGCGCGAACCACGAGAACCCGAGACAACAAAATTCGCAAAAAAACCTCGAGTTTTTGCACCTCGGGTTGCGCGGGCACCGCAGAAATCGCAAAAACCATGGGTTTTTGCACCTCGACCACGCCGATCCCCGCAGAGGGTCGCGCGAGCACCGCAGAAATCGCAAAAAAACCATGGGTTTTTGCACCTCGACCACGCCGATCCCCGCAGAGGGTCGCGCGAGCATGCAGAAATCGCAAAAAACCATGGGTTTTTGCACCTCGACCACGCCGATCCCCGCAGAGGGTCGCGCGAGCACTTTAGAAATCGCAAAAAACCATGGGTTTTTGCACCTCGACCACGCCGATCCCCGCAGAGGGTCGATTTTCGTGTAGTGTCGTCGGCACTACCCCGCCGCCCTAAGAAGAGATTTTAACTCCTCGCAAGTCAATTGCACTTGACTCCTTGCACTTGCAACTTGCACTTGACTCCTTGCTTGTTTCAAGGAGTCATTGCAAGGAGTCATTGCAAGGAGTCATTGCAAGGAGTCATTGCAAGGAGTCATGCAAGGAGTCATTGCAAGGAGTCATTGCAAGGAGTCATTGCAAGGAGTCATTGCAAGGAGTCATGAGAGCCATTGCAAGTTGCAAGGAGCCAAGTGCATGGAGTCAAGTGCAAGTCGCAAGTGCACGGAGTTAAGTGCAAGTTGCAAGTGCAAGGAGCCAAGTGCAAGGAGCCAAGTGCATGGAGTCAAGTGCAAGTTGCAAGTGCATGGAGTCAAGTGCAAGTTGCAAGTGCATGGAGTCAAGTGCAAGTTGCAATTGCAAGGAGTCAAGTGCAAGTTGCAATCCTTGCCACTCCTTGCAATGACTCCTTGCAATGACTCCTTGCAATGACTCCTTGCAATGACTCCTTGCAATGACTCCTTGCAATGACTCCTTGCAATGACTCCTTGCAATGACTCCTTGCAATGACTCCTTGCAATGACTCCTTGCAATGACTCCTTGCAATGACTCCTTGCAATGACTCCTTGCAATGACTCCTTGCAATGACTCCTTGCAATGACTCCTTGCAATGACTCCTTGCAATGACTCCTTGCAATGACTCCTTGCAATGACTCCTTGCAATGACTCCTTGCAATGACTCCTTGCAATGACTCCTTGCAATGACTCCTTGCAATGACTCCTTGCAATGACTCCTTGCAATGACTTTCATGATGCTGATTCCTTGCAATGACACCTTGTAATGACTCTCATGAGAACAACTCAAGTGAACCCAGCGGAAGAACCCTTCGCCATGCTTTCGGGAAAAGGAAAGAAAACGATCACTGGTGAACATATATAGAGGACCCACTTTGTTGGAATCATTTCGGAGGGTCCTGGAGTTGCTACGGGTCAGCCTTGCTCAACCCTAAATAAAAAGACTTGTCAATGGTTGGACAAAGCCCGTGAGTTTGAAGGATATGGTCGGTGTAGGATTGGCTTGTGCAGTGGCGTTGAAAGGGGAATGGCAAAATCGCAAGAACCCTCAAAGGGTTGGGTGCACATAGTGCCTCCTCCAGAGTCGGACCCTTGCCATCCGAAATGAACTGCCAACGAAAAAACCTCGGAATCTGCTTGTTTCAGGGGGTGTTTTTTTGTATTTCTCTGTTTTGTCTTGGGGTGCTAAGTGAGCCTTGATGTGTTTCTGCCCTTGGAAACTGCAAGTGGGTGGGACACTTGCTCTTTTGCGGACCCCTGACTTACCAGCTAAATTGTTCGCCGCCAAACTTTCACATGTTTGAAAGCGCATTTGTTGCCTTGGAACATGACTTTACTACTTGACTCACTTGACCCATGTTCTGGGGGAGTGTTATCTAAACATCTCCCATGGTCTTTTGGCCGGAGGCTGCCGTTGCTCTCCTTCCGGCGGGACCTCGTAGCCTTCAACGCCGCCCTTTGCGCCGCGCAGCGCGGTGCCCGCAATGGCGCGTGGCAGGCGGGGCTGGACCTCTTCAAAGCCATGGCACAGGCGGGGCGCCCGGGGCGCCCTTTGAAGTCCTCTTGGGCACAGATTTGCTCTTTGGGTGCGAGAGGGAAAACGGTGGAGTAATTTGGAGTCAAGGGAAACCAGAACTTACTGGCCGTTGATTAAGTAGCAGTGAGGGGCTGAGAACAGGGTATGGGTTTTCACAAAACGAGACTGCAGCACGTGATGTTCCTTTGACTCTATCGCCCTTGCGTGGTGCCCTCTTAGGTGCGAGTAGAGGCAGACATCGTCTCGCTGAACAGCGCCTGCCTTTGCGCGGGCTCCTGCCGCGAGGGTCAGGTGACACTGGAGCTGCTGCGGGACCGGGGCCGGGGTTGAGTGACAAGCTGCCCGGTGGTTGGGGGGGAGGAGGAGGTGTCGAACATATCCCACAATGAAAAGAATTAGGTGTTTTATGCCTAACTTGGGGATGGACATAAGGAAGATAGTTATTACTTGCTCGATGGTTTTGGTCTCCCTGCCAAGACAGCCTTGGGGGCACTTGACAACACATCATGTGGGTGCTTCAACATTTGCATCTCTAGAGAAGCTTCCAACATGGGCCCGTGGGATATCAAGGTGCTGTGAGTTTCCAAGGGAATGCCAATTTGCGCACGGATGCCCCGGACTTGCGGGTGCACGGTTCGCGAGATATACCTTAACAAGATCTGTTCTTTTCTTTTTTTACAAGGTTCGTTGCAAAAGCATCACCCTTTGACTCTGACCAGGATTTCGGTGGATTTCTAGAAAGATTCGGACTGACTCAGAGTATTGAAGTTACATCTCGACGATTTGTTCAAGGGAATCGATACGGTTCCCAGGGAATCGCAATGGATCTCATACTTGGGCTACGCACCTTCTATCGCAGGAGGCGGAGACTGGCCTTCGGAAAGCCGCAGGCCCGGAACTCCGAGTGTGAGCAAACCACACGGAGCCCCGCTTTGACGTGTCTGCCTTGGTTCTAAGGGCTCCTTCATGTTGTTTTTAAAGCAGAACGTTAACCTGTTAGGGGGAGATAAAGTGAAAGGAACATCATGGAGAGATCCATATACCCCGATGTTTCGGCGGATGTTTAGGTTTGAGAAAGCAAATGCATGGCCAGGGGGTTCACAGACTAGAGTTAGGGATTGCGCTCCATCAAGCAACCTCCTCTTGAGACATGTGGTTTTGGTGTCGAAGGAATGCTGCCACCCGCCAATGCTTTGGAGACTCTGAGTTGGGTTTCTTTTCGGAGAAACGCCGAATACTTTGGCAGTTTAGGTGTGGCATGGATGATGCCAGGCGTGCTGAAAGGCCGCCAGATGGCTTGACGGTCTGGGCCTCAGACTTCCGGTGGCAAAAGCCGGTCAAGTTGAGCCAAGGGGCAGCCGTCTGATTTTCAGGAAACTCATGACGGTTCAAGCTTAGTTGGTGATATGCCGTACGGCAATATACGGCAAGAAGGGGCAGCGTTCAAGTTGCGTTGTTATTTGTAAAGTAGTGAGTCAATGCGGACTTGCCCAACTTCTCTCAAGAATGCCAACCCTATCAATTGACCTGTTTTTTTGGCATATGTGGGATTTACTGTAACATTATGCATCTCCATTGTGACTGCAGCCGTTTCACCTAGCCATTTTTTGGGCTACGTCGCTCATGGCGCTCGTAGGACCCGACGGCGTGGAGCTGATGACAGCGAGGGAGTTGGCCGCATGGTGGGACCAGCGAAAGCGGGAAGAGGATGGCGCAGGGGGCCTCCCGGCCTTGGGTGGACTTTTGGATCTCTGTTTCCTTTCTTTTGGTGTTGCTTGCCTTGTGTTACCTTTGAGGTTTTGTCCAACTCAGATCCACCCACAAATGGGTGAATTGTGAGAAGATCAGGTCTTTTGACTGCAAGCGAGGCGTGGTGGAGGCGCTGAAGCGCGAGGTGGCCCGGCGTTTGCGGTTGCGCAACTTTCGGCAGCTGGCGCTGGCATGCGGCGATCGCCAGCTGACAGAGGACTCCTATCAGCTGGGCCCAGTGGTCGCCTTTGTGCGGCCGTACCTGTGGCCGCAGGAAGGGCACTGCATGAAGTTGTTGGAGGCAGCCAGCCGCAACGACACCGGCAAGGTGGTGAGTCTTCTAGAGATGCCCCTGGAGCCGGACACGACAGATTTCAGGCGCAGGTCGGCTTTGCACTTAGCTGCCCAATTTGGCCAGATGGACGTTGCGCTTTGCTTGCTGGAAACCGGCGCTGACAAGGATAAGGCCGACAATCACGGGTACACCCCTCTGCATTTTGCATCTCAGGCTGGCCATTGGCAAGTTGGGCGCTGTTTGCTGGAAGCAGGCTCTGACGTACAAAGGGCCAACAATAACGGAGATACGCCTCTGCATGTAGCTGCCCAATTCGGCCATGTAGAGGTTGCTCGCCTCCTGCTGGAGAGCGGCGCTGATAAGGACAAGGCCAACAATGCAGGTTGTACGCCCATGCATGTTGCTGCTCGGTTTGGGCATCAGGAAGTTGCATGTTGCTTGCTGGAAGCAGGTGCTGATCAGACCAAGGCCGACAATGGCGGGCGGGTGCCAATACATTGCGCCGCGTCCGAGGGCCATCAGCAAGTGGTGCGCTGCTTGCTGGCGGCTCGTGCTGACACGCGCACGTCTGACAACCTCAGGAACACGCCGATGGATTTTGCTCTCTGGCGGGGCCATGAGGAAGTGGTGCGCTGCTTGTCGGTTGGCAGGTGAGCCCAGGCCGATGCGTTGCCTTCTGTTTTTGCACAAGACAAATGCGCAGGCGGACCATTTGCTCGCTAGAACAAAAGTCGAGGCTGGCATGGTTTCCAACCGACTTTTTCGCGTAGCAGGAAGCCGGAAGCCGGCGGGCCGGCGAAATATGCGCAGGCTGGCCGTTGCTTGCTGGCCAGCTCATGATCGGGGCACCGGAGCCGAAAGAGACGAGCACTACTTGCACCCAGTGGTCCATGTTGCCCTGCGACATCCAACAGGGGTCCCAAACAAAAAGGAGCTTGCTTTGCAGATCATGGTTTGTGGGGCATCATGTCAATCCGCAGGAGTGTTGGAATGATTATTCTATGACACCTTGAACAGACCTTTGCTCAGACATGCTTCATGGACTGTAGCGCTATCATGCACCACCAAGTCCATGAAGCCGGTACAGTGCCTCTTTTCAGGATCCACTGTTTGAGGGCACAGCCACGCGCTCGGTTTGTCACTTTCTGTTGGGCTTTAGTTGGAGAAGGGTGGCACTAGCTCGCAAAGGTGACCCAGAGCAGCTCGAATCGTTTTCCAAATGACAGCTGATGCCGATCGTTGGCTTTTGAGAGTGTCGACCTTCTAGTTAGGTAATCTGCTCGTTGTCCTTGGACCATCTTGGACCCATGGTTCAAGTGAGCCGGTCACATGAGGGATTCCGAGATGTCTGAGCCTTTTCACTCCAAGTACCCACACGGAAACCTGTCGCACATTGGTTCACAGCATGTTTCAACTGAAGTCACTGCAGCATCCGCGCGAAAGCCTCGAACCTGTAATGAACATGTGCAGTTTAAAAGGGAATTTAAAAGGGAATGGGCACAGCATATCACAACGCTGGCCACCTCTTTTGTGGCATTTGAAGAGAGCCAGTGTTTGGGACAAGGCCCTGCGACAGACAAGCCTTTGTGGTGAAAGTCGGGGTCCTAGTTGATAGCGTGTACGGTGGGGTTGGGACCGTGTGGAGATCCGTTGTTCCCTTTTTTCTGACAGACTGTCAGCAAGGCTTTCCCTTACTTACTGGCTGCAAAAGCAGCCTTGAATCCAGAACGGCTTATGCAGAATAGTCAGAGCCAATTCCTTGATGTACCTTTTGTTGATACTTTGCGGTTGTCGAGGGCGCCCAAAGAGCGCCTCCCCCCAGCTAGGATTCCGTTGTGCTACCCTTGGTCATCCGGGCGAAAGCTTTCTGGGCCAGCCATCGGGACATTCCCCATGGCCTACGTGCACCAGGCCAGCGGCCAGGCGAGGTCCAAGTTGGCTTTTGCAAGATTTTGCCGTTGGAGCTTCGTTCATCTGACTCGTTGGGAACCAAGCAGTTGGATTCAAACGCTTCTGAGTTGCTGTTTAGTGCTGGCTGGCCTCACACGTTTCAATGAGTTCCTGCTAGTTTTGCGCCAGTAGCTCAAGCTCCAGGGCCAAGCTTGTTGCGGGTCCCAAAGTTTGTCCCTAGCGCCCGCTTCACGCAGGATGTCATGTCGCAGGCGGAGTTCGCCGCTTGGTGGGAGGAGCAACGGGAACTGCGGGAGAATTGCGTTCCTTTCGCCGATGCGTTGAGGCGCGAGGTGGCCAGGCGCCTGCAGCTGCGCAACTTTCGGAAGCTTGCGCTGCTTTGCGGCGAGCAGTTGCTGGGGCCGGACAGCCCCTGGAACAGCGTGGAGTCGCTGCTTGCTGTGGTGAAGCCATATGTCGATGTCGGGGATGGGGTGGCAGACTTCTTGAAAGCCGCCTCTGCCGGTGACGCTGCCACAGTCATGCGCTTCTTGGACAAGCCCCTAGATCCCAGCACCTGCGATGGGCGAAAGCGATCGGCACTGCACGAGTCAGCGCAGGGCGGGCACGTGGACATCGCGCGTAGCTTGCTGGAGGCCAACGTGGACATGGACGCCTTCGATACGTTCGGGCGCTCGCCCTTGCATTGGGCAGCCAGCAAGGGCCACTTGCATGTTGTGACCAGCTTGCTGGAAGCTGGCGCCAACAAGGACACCAAGGACCCAAATCGGAAGACTCCTATGAATCTAGCTTCTGCAGCTGGCCATTATGACGTTGTGCATGTTTTGCGGCCTACGCCGCACTGAATTTGAGCTCAAGAAAACGGATGCGGCCCTCCTTGATCGCATGGTACTGCTGTTTGAATGTGTGCCCTTATTGGCTTGACATTTCAATTAAGTTGTCCACGTTTCGCAGGGTGTTGACAGGTTCCTAGCCCGAATGGATTGGCTGGTACAAAGTCCAGCCAGTTTGCACAAGTGCATTGAGTTTGCAAAACAGGAAGGTGTTGTGGCTCGGCAAAACGGCTGGTGCTGTGCAACTTCAAGTCAGATGCTCGCAAGGTGTTTGTTTCGCGTCAGGATTTGGAACAGTTGATTGAGTTGCTGGGTTGTTTCGCGTTTTGGATTGTGTGGCGTTGTCACGACAGCGCGAGATCAGGAAGCCTTCCTTTGGTTCTGCAATATTGATGCATTTTGTCCAGTGTCCCTTGTTTGAAATCCAAGCATCTCCTTAAAGGGCGGAAGCAAGATGAAATCCACAGGTCGCAGGTGGGTGAGCAGTTACGCCTGGTGAGTCCGCAGAAGTTGCGTGCCACACCTTCCCGTGGATGTGAACCGTGATTGGTAATTACCGCCAGATGTTGCCGGTTGATAATAATGTTGACCTATGATTAATAAATAGGGCCCCCCCCCCCCTGAATGACCATAAATAAAGATTGGGGGATAATTTTCAGGGTCGGGCCTTGTTTAAAGGAGTTTAGTATTGGGCTCATTTTTTTTCGTTTTCGAATACTACTTTAGAATTGGGCCAATTCAACAGTAGTATTGGGCATGTTGTTTTTTCTTATTTTGCCTTGGGGGAATACTAGTTTAGAATTTGGCCAATTCTAAAGTAGTATTGAGCCAAGAACTTTTGCATGCGTTTGCATGGGCAGGCATGTACTCCAGAAGGGCTTGAAAAGGACATTCATGAGGGGCTGGCATGCATTTCAGGAGGGATTGAGAAGGACATTCATGAGGGACATTTATGAGGGTGTGCATGGGCTGGCATGCATTTTAGGAGGGATTGAGAAGGAAATTCATGAGGGTTTGCATGGGCTGGCATGCCTTCTAGGAGGGATTGAGAAGGACATGCATGAGGGTTTGCATGGGCTGGCATGCATCCTAGGAGGGATTGAGAAGGAAATTCATGACGGTTTGCATGGGCAGGCATGCCTTCTAGGAGGGATTGAGAAGGACATTCATGAGGGTTTGCATGGGCAGGCATGCATTCTAGGAGGGATTGAGAAGGACATTCATGAGGGTTTGCATGGGCAGGCATGTATTCCAAGAGGGATTGAGAAGGCATGCCATGAGGGTTTGCATGGGCTGGCATGTATTCCAAGAGGGATTGAGAAGGAAATTCATGAGGGTTTGCATGGGCTGGCATGTATTCCAAGAGGGATTGAGAAGGAAATTCATGAGGGCTTGCATGGGCTGGCATGTGTTCCAAGAGGGATTGAGAAGGAAATTCATGATGGTTTGCAGGGATTGAGAAGGACATTCATGACGGTTTGCATGGGCAGGCATGTATTCCAAGAGGGATTGAGGAGGACATGCATGAGGGTTTGCATGGGCTGACATGTATTCCAAGAGGGATTGAAAAGGAAATTCATGAGGGTTTGCATGGGCATGTATTCCAAGAGGGATTGAGAAGGAAATTCATGAGGGTTTGCATGGGCCGGCATGTATTCCAAGAGGGATTGAGAAGGAAATTCATGAGGGTTTGCATGGGCTGGCATGCATTCTAGGAGGAATTGAGAAGGACATTCATGAGGGTTTGCGTGGGCAGGCATGTATTCCAAGAGGGATTGAGAAGGACATGCATGAGGGTTTGCATTGGGCTGGCATGTATTCCAAGAGGGGATTGAGAAGGAAATTCATGAGGGTTTGCATGGGGTGGCATGCATTCTAGGAGGGATTGAGAAAGAAAATCATGAGGGTTTGAGTGGGCTGGCATGCATTCCAGGAGGGATTGGGAAGGAAATTCATGAGGGTTTGCATGGGCTGGCATGCATTCTAGGAGGGGTTGAGAAGGACATTCATGAGGGTTTGCGTGGGTCAATGTGTTGATTTTGGCGGCTTTTAAAAGGAATTCTAAAAGAAAGGGGTCCCATACATTTGTGGAGCTGGGATAAATCTAGAATCAAGTGTGGGATGAGCCAAGTGGAATGGAAAGCTTGACCATGAATAAAGATAAGGGGATCAGATCTATTTTGTGATGGGGGAATCTGGTTAGCATTATTCATGGTCTGGTTATTATTTAGTGCCTCAGGGTTCATGGGGGGTACCCTTGCTGCCAGGGTCAATGTGTTGATTTTGATGGTTTTTTAAAAGGAATTCTAAAAGAAAGGGGTCCCATACATTTGTGGATTTGGGAGTAAATCTAGAATCAAGTGTGGGATGAGCCAAGTGGAATGGAAAGCTTGACCATGAATAAAGATAAGGGGATCAGATCTATTTTTTGATGGGGGAATCTGGTTAGCATTTTTCATGGTCTGGTTATCGTTTAGTGCCTCAGGGTTCATGGGGGGTACCCTTGCTGCCAGGGTCAATGTGTTGATTTTGTTTTTTTAAGGAATTCTACAAGAAAGGGATCCCATAAATTTGTGGATTTAGGAAAAATCTAGAATCAAGTGTGGGATGAGCCAAGTGGAATGGAAAGCTTGACCATGAATAAAGATAAGGGGATCAGATCTATTTTTTGATGGGGGAATCTGGTTAGCATTTTTCATGGTCTGGTTATTTTTTAGTGCCTTAGGGTTCATGGGGGGTACCCTTGCTGCCAGGGTCAATGTGTTGATTTTGGTGTTTTTGTAAAAGGAATTCTACAAGAAAGGGATCCCATAAATTTGTGGATTTGGGATAAATCTAGAATCAAGTGTGGGATGAGCCAAGTGGAATGGAAAGCTTGACCATGAATAAAGACAAGGGGATCAGATCTATTTTTTGATGGGGGAATCTGGTTAGCATTATTCATGGTCTGGTTATTATTTAGTGTCTCAGGGTTCATGACCCTGCATAAAGATTGGATGCCAGAAGCATACAAATCCCATGTCAGGTTTCCCTGGCATGATCCCTGGAAAAATCCATTGTGAAACCATGCAAATCTCATGGGGGATGAGGGTTGGGAGCACTGACCCTGAATAAAGATTGGATGCCAGAAGCATGCAAATCCCGTGGTACATCAGGATCCCATGGGGGAGGAGGGTTGGGAGCACTGACCCTGAATTATGATTCGATGCAAAAGCGTGCAAATCCCATGGTAAATCAGGATTCCCTTGCATGATCCCTGGACAAATTCACTATGAAAGCATGCAAATCCCATGGGGGATGAGGGTGGGAGCACTGACCCTGAATAAAGATTGGCTGCCAGAAGCATGCAAATCCTATGGTAAATCATGGTTCCCTGGCATGATCCCTGGATAAATTCACTATGAAACCATGCAAATTCCGGAGCACTGACCCTGAATAAAGATTAGATGCCAGAAGCATGCAAATCTCATGGTAAATCAGGTTTGCCTGGCATGATCCATGGATAAATTCACTATGAAACCATGCAAATTCCATGGGGATGAGGGTTGGGAGCACTGACCCTGAATAAAAATCTGCATTTTGCATGGATCCCAATGGGAATTCTAGGTTCTTTTGTGAGCTGGGGAACTCAGGATTCATTCATTCATGTGGGGGGAAGGTTATTTTTTGGAATTAGTTTATATTATTTTGTATTTTTCATATTTTTCCACTGGGGAAAAACGGTTAGCATTATTCATGGTATATTTATTATTTTTTTGGAAATCGGTTAGCATTATTCATGGTCTATTTACTAATCGTAGGTCAACATTATGCATGCGGCAGCCTTCGGCGTATGCGCAGTCTCTCCAACCAAAGCGGAGCGGAGAATCAGCAAACGAGATGGTTTCCAGGGCTTGGCTTTTTGGCAGAAACATGCGCTGCAATCCCAAATGTTGCGCATGCTCCATTGGGTCTAACACTACTTCCTCAGTTTTGCAAATAACCTGACTTGCGTCCGGCTCGCGGGCCCGAACTAGCTCCAACTCGCTCACACGAAACATATTGATATTGGTCCCTTTGTCCAGCCGACTCAACCCGTTCAGGTTCCAGCCCTGAAGTGCTTCTGCCTGCACGAGGCCACGGCGGAGAAAGATGGGTCGACGTTTTGTTGCGAGGGCCGACCTCCCTTTGAGAACCTCGAGCCACTCCATGCACATTGAGTTGGAGCTTTGCAACGCTTAACGGAACGTGACACATCGGGGTTTTATAGCCTTTGCCAGCCGACCCCTTAGCAGTGCAACTTCCCCAAGGCCGGTGGCGGGAATGTGCCGCCTTCGGGGCAGGTCGCGTTGAAGATTACTGTAGCCAGAAGGAAGCAGCTACCCGGGCCAAAGTTCCGTGAAGCACAGATTTGCCGGTGTCTCGGATCAAGAAGTTTACCCATCACCAACAGCGTAAAATATCATGACCAGAGGTCCATGCTTGGACACAGGAAATGGCAGACAATGCACATATTTGCCATGTGTTCACTTGTCACCGAGCCTGCCACACCCACGCCCTCAGTTCCATGGCGTGCGTTCGCCGAATGACCGGCGAGGAAGTGCTGTCCGAAGCGGACTTCGCTGTGTGGTGGGATGAAAGCTGTGAGCGGCGGGAGGGCGGCGCACTCTTCGTGGACGAGCTCCGGCGCGAGGTGGCCAGGCGGATGCAGCTGCGGAACTTCCGGCAGCTCACCTTGGTTTCGGGGGACCGCCATTTGGGCCGCCAGAGTGCGTGGACCAATGCCGAGCTTGTGGCGGTCGTAAGGCCATACCAAGAAGTCCAAGAAAAGGCCCCAAGATGGAACAAGATTCTCAGTCGGCAACTATGTCTCCACAGTGCAGCCAAGACAGGAGATGCAGACGAGCTTGTGAAGCTTCTGGATGAGCCTGTCAATCCTGACACCATGAGAGAGGGCTCATCGGCACTGGACACAGCTGCGGCAAGAGGCCACGTTACAATTATTCGGCACTTGATTGAAGCTGGCGCCAATGTTGTCGGGGCTCTGCACTCGGCTGCACGAGAGGGCCAACTTTGTGCGGTTGAGTGCTTGCTCCAACTTGGTGCTGACAAGGATGCTGCAAATGACCAGTGGCTCACGCCGCTGCATGTTGCAGCCATGAACTGCCAATGCGACATTGTGACTTGCCTAGTGGAAGCTCGGGCAGACCCAAACAAGACAGACCGCAAGGGTCGTACAGCCAAGCAGCTTGCGTACGACCAGAACCACCATCATGTTATGGTGCTATTTCCCTCGAGCAGACGATCAGTGGTATTCCGTTGATTCCTTCAAGCAGGCGGCCAGCACGCGCAGGCCGAAAGTAACGTAACCGCGTGTTCTGGCACGCTTTGCGGGCCAGAAGCCAGTGAGTCAACTGGCAGCCTGACAAGCTTCGGGGCAGCCCTTAGTCTGCCATCGCACACCCGCTTTTTGGGGCTTCAAAAAGTTTTCGAAGCCCCCCAATTTGCTTTTGTGAAGTCGCTTTGATTCCTGCATGCATGGCCTGAAGAACGCTGTGGCACACCGTCACCGGGTCAGTGGCAAAAGAGGCGAAGGAATGAAGCAGCTAAGCTGTATATGATGGAAGGGCTTTCTTCACTAGGTGGCCACAGGTCTTCAGGTGTTCCCCATTGTGCCATGCAGAATAGAAGGAACTTCCGTGGTACGGCAACTAATTGAAAGCTAGCTTTCTGACGAAAGACAAGAGAAGAATAAGTGTGCGCGAAAAACTGCGCGCGCGTGTGCTGCGGAAATGGAGATGTTCAAAATGTGCAACCCTTTGCGCGTTTATGTTCAAGAGTTAGCCTCATCGCGGCATTAGTTTGCATGACAGGCGCAGCGGTTTCCGCAAGTGAGGCGCAGGCTTCGTGACAAGCGCCGCACAGTCGCACGGTCATGCGCAGACTTCGGGGCAAGCGCAGCACTTTCGCAAGGTCAGGTGCATATTTCGTGGCGGCCGCAGCACTTTCGCAATGTGCAGGTTTCGTGGCAGACACTTTCGCGAGGTCAAGTGCAGAACCCGGCAGGTTCGGTAGACAGATTGGAAAGAAAGAAACAAAGATAAAACGAGGCAGATAGACGCATAGGTTGGATTAGTGCAGGCCAGGACAGATTAGGATAGACAGATTATTCAAAAAGAAAGAGAGAGAGAGAGAGAGAGAGAGAGAGAGAGAGAGAGACAGATAAGTAGACTGGGTCTTGTAGGGTGGCCAAAGGATGTTTAGGAGGTCCGTGGCGTGGCGGCCAAGTTGAACCCTAGCTCCCTGACAGGACAGCAGAAGACTATGCGCGCGAAAGCATTGTGCGCAGAAAAGTCTCAATGCTTGGACCTGCTCACCTGCAACGATTGGGGAGGGGTCGGAAGATGTGTCATGGATGCCTCAATAGCAAGTATACTGTCTAACCCTGACTTATTCCAAGCCTTCGGGTGCACAGTTGATCAGCACCTTGGGTGCGCTCGGCCAGACATATTCAACACTTCATGTTTTCGTGCACCTTACAGATGCAAAAATTGGCCTATGGACGCTCAGCAGTTCCACTTTCAATTGGGTTCCATGGCTTGAATGCCCTGTAATTTGGACAAAACAGGAACCGTAGGCAGCAAAACAGCATGACCTTTGCTGAGCAGGCAAAATTTCCTTTGCTTCTGACTGGCGTCAAAACGTGCATGAGATGCCCCACAAATGCAAGATGCATGCACACCCACACAAGCAGTTGGAGAAGGATTTCAAAGTTTCAGCTGTTCTTGAGCCAAACCGAACATTTAAACTGGGGGCTTTACAAAAGCTACCTCACCTAGCGGGAAAATTGCAAACTTGTCCACAGTGCCCATAGCAAGGCTGCCCGAAGTTTACCCAGAAGTTTCGCCCCCAGCTGGTCAGAGCCCTTCTAAGGACCCTTTAACAAGGCACCTTTCGAACCATTCCTGGGCTTTGGGCTTTGGGATGTTTTTTGGCCTTGGCTTTCTCAGTGGGTTCCAATTCTTGACACCTCCCCATCGCCAGCTGTTTCTGCACCCATTGGGGCCATGGCCGTGCAGGTCTGCGTGGCGCGAAAGCGCCATGCACGAAGTGGACAGTTTGACGTTTGCTGATGCTTGGGATATTTGTTCTACAAATATGTCTGAATGAGGGAAAAGCAGCCGATTATGTCTTGTCATTTCAATCAATCACACACGCACACACACACACACAAAAACACACACACACACACACACAGACACACACACACACACACACACACACACACACACACACACACAATATCCGTATGCGTGTATATATATATATATACATTTACGATATACACATATATGTACATCATGTATACTTGGGTTTCTTCGTACTGGATATATATGTATATATATATATAATATCCATCAATACGGGGCTATGTGTTGTATGTTTAAATTTGTGTTTGCCGCCAACCATGCGTCACACCTGACAGTCCATTCCTCGAAAGGACGGATTCAGGCTGTGAAGGTCCTGACTTGCGGGTTTGGCTTAGCAGACCTCGCTGCCTTGGACCACAAGTGATGTTTCCGTGTTCTACCCCAGGCAGCTTGATCTTCCACCCTGCGTCTCTGAGCAGGGCGCCTTTTGACGCAAACCTGAAGACATGCTCACAGGCGATACGAGAGGCTCGCTCCGAATTCCATTTCCACCAGGGCCAGAACTCAGAACCCTTCGCCGAACCTTTGCCTCCCGCCATACCGTTTCAAATTTCAGCCTCAAGGGGCAGTGGACTGCAATGGATTTCTCGTGAAATCCCTGTTCAGTGCCTGAGCGTCATCAAACTGTTTGGGATGATTCTCGTGGTAAACCAGGAGTTCTGACATTTTTGAATCCATAGGCGCCTGCCACGCTAAGCGCAAACAACCTGCACCAGCACAAGGCTGCAGAGGTCCTCATTATGTCTCGGAGAGATTGCCTGTACTCGTAGCTTGTATTCGTTCGTGGGTGGGGGCGGGCGGGGTCGGGGGGGACTGACATACTAGGCGTGGGGAAGACGGGCCAGGCAACTGGGGCAAGGTAGGGCAACTGGGAAGGCCACCGCTTAAATTACAGTATGTTTGCCAGAATCATTGCCTGGCTAATCGTTCCTCCGCATTTTCTTCATGCGCCCGAAGCTGAAGCTGCGGCAAGCGCCCCGGGCCGCCTGCCATGCAGCTGTCCGACGTTCAGAAGGAGCTGCCGCTCTGGCGAGAAAACCCCAAGCGCCATGGCGGAAAAAGCTGGCCCCCTCCTCCCCTTCCCCCCTTGTGGACAGGGAAAGGCCAATCTAAAATGAGATTCCGTTTGCCGGGGCTATGATTTCAGGTTGGAGATTGAATGTGTCTTCCGCATTTTTGGCGAGCTTACCCTCGGGTTAACGAGCTCACCCATGAAGGTTCAGGTTTTGGAATGAAACATGTTGCAGACTTTGTTGCGTTGCTTTCTGGTGTTGCTGTTTCTAACTTAAAGTAAAGTTTAGTTTGTGCTGATTCTCATTGCCCATTTGTGTGATCAGAATCAGTACGTTGGCTTGGTAAGCTTTGAGGTGCAATATGTGGGGTTGCTTTGCAGCAGCTGTGCCTTCACTCTGTCATGATCTTCATCGGTTGTTGCCAATGGTGTGTTTGGATATATTTGCCAATGGTGTGTGTGTGTGTGTGGATATGTTGAGGTTGTTGAACAGGCGTCTCTCACGGGGGAAAAAACAGAATTGCAGCTCGCGTGGGAAACGCCAACGGAATGCCCAGCGAAAAGGCAAAGATTTGCAACGTTCTCTGCACGCAAGCTTGGAAGCGATTTTTAAGCCATGGGGGCTTGACTGAATGAGGCATCCTTATAGAGTTCTGCAAAACCACGATGCTCAGCCCAGAAAGGGCTTGCTCAAGAGTTACTTGCAGGGTCTCTGGCGTGCCTCTTTCCACTGCTCGCTTCACAGGGGTCACCTGCTCTGTTAGCTGCCTTCTCCTCGCGCCACAAGACACGAAGGGGGCCACAAATAGTGCTTTTGTTTCCCAGTTTGGGTGAAATAGGCCAAGTTTCATCGACATACGAAGTACCCTGATCTGCCAAAATGGCCTAAGATGGCAGATGGCCTACCCATTTTATCGGCCCTGTAAATTGGCAGACGGTGACCTGCAAGGTATCGGTGCCTTCTTGGTTGGACAAAACCTTCATAAGTTTGGTCCCAGCCCATCTTCTTGCGTGGGGAGTTATCCTGGCTGGTCGTAACTCGCTCCCGACACAGAGCGACTTCCAGGTAGAACCCTGCGCTTTGTGAAATTCTTTCAACATATTTGTCGAGAATGCAACACCCACCTGAGGTATGCCATGCGGACCTTGAAAGCCTTCGCAGAGGCCTGGGCTGCAGAGTGTGGCACCGGTGCTGTGGTCAACTGGAAGCTTCGGACAAAGAAGGATATGCTCATCAAGCTTCGGCAAGGATTCGAGGGAACCATGCCAGGGATTCAAGGAAAACGGACCTACTGAGGGACCTTTGACCGTGCCTCCCATGCTTTAAAGTTGAAATTGCGTGCGGAAGCGCCTTTCCAGGAATCCTTTGCAGTCTCAGGGACTGGGTGTCAAGTCATTGTCCTGTTCCCAGGCGAGGCGTCACCAAGATGCCGCGCAGCTCCTGCAGATCATGCGCCAGGCGAGAAGAAAGGATAGACACTTCCCCCCCACCCTCTCTGTGGCCGCGGACAGGATTTCACAACTATTTTACGGAACCCTACTGAAGCAGCGTTTGCAAGAGACTGCTATCCGCATGGGTTGGTATGGCCTTCTTTTGCAAGACGAGCGCACGCCTGAGTTTCCCAAAGCAGGTGCCACTCGGATTGGTGGGGTGACCTTGGTTTCCCCTGATCATCATCCACACACCAGGAAAAGGTTTAATTTCGAGACCACCCATGTCTAGTTAGCTTGAGCTTCGCTGTGTTGTTTTGCAGATTGGCCGCTGCAATTATCACCAAGGTGCTGAAGGCTCTCCGCGCACGATCAGGCACCCCTTCCTGGTTTGCAAGCGATTCTTCATGAATGCTGGCCGTCCGGCTTACTCCCCTGCAAAATTAGATGGAATCCACAAGTTGGTTTTTCCAAAACGATATGATTCAATCTTCTATTTTGGGGGAGGGGGGGCAGGGCTTTCGTCTTAGCCTGTGGGAGGGGGAGTTGCCGTAGCTGGAAAGCTGGGAGGCCCAGCCCTTGGTCCAAGCCCCAAGTTTCAATTTGGCAAATTGCGACTGCACAAAGGGAGTTGGTTTGCCGGCGCGGAAGGTTCCTCCCTTCATGCGATCTCACGGTTCGAGTGCGAAATATGCTAATTCCTCCGGATGGAATGTATGTACCTCAGTTGCGTTGATGTAGGCTAGGAAGAGTGTCAATCTTCCACACGCTGGAGCATAATTACGTTAGTACTACAGTCTATCCCAGCACAATCAGAGGTTGTGCAGCGCGTTTGGTTTGATAAGAGGGTTAAATTTATGTCTTTCTTGCGGGCATCACCATGTTCCTTTGTTGCTTGCACGCTGTCTTCCCTTGAGGAGATGGTGGAGACCAACAACTTCCACTACAGCGCTGCCATGAGCGCCTGCGAGAAGTCGGGTGACTGGCAGCTGGCAAGCCGGCGAACGGGATTAATGCAACCAGATTTAGGGGGGAGAAAGCATGTTGAGGGTACTTCTTGAAGGGATCATAGAGCGTCAAGTTCAGCAGGGTACTGACGTCGATTATTTCTAATTAACTCGGTGTTCTCCCTTACCGCGTATTGCTTCGTTTGTTGGCTTGTTTCGTGGGGGGCGAGGCAGAGCGCAGCTGCTCAATCGCTGCAATCACCCAATAAGTGCGATGCCGCCCAAGAACTTCCCCACTCTTTGATTCTACCAAGCTCAAGCCGCTGCACCCCACTTGAACCGAGTTGGCTCCGCTTGATGGACTTGTTTGTTGCCACTCCGTTTGCAAACCGCTGAGTGGGATGAGAGTCACTGACGCCTTGCCCACAGGAAGCTTCAAACATCGACCAGCCTATCCAGTTTTTCAGCGGCACCCTTATTCGGCAGCAGTATGTTTCCCATTTGCCGGGTTCATTCCCGATTGTTCCACCAGGGTCACTGGGCGACAGATGTGCAAACCATTCACCATCAAAGGGACCTGCCTAGGCACTGTCCCTCCTGGCGGAGATGCAGGAACTGATGGATCCCAACGCGGTTTCCGCAGCTCACTTGCATCCACCCGTTCCTTCCAGTCAGCTTTGGTGCACCGGTTGGTTGTTGATTCCACCCCCGTAAGGAATCAGCTTGGGCGTGAAGAAGAGAATATATGTTGGACCCCGAACCGTTTTTGGCAAAGCCCAACGGATACTGCACGTGTTCATTTCCCCTTTGGTGTCACTTACCCTCTTTCTCACGGCAAACGGACGGCAACTTCTGAGCGAGGTGAATGTAGCCATCAGTGCCTGTGAAAAGGGCTGCCGCTGGCAGTGGGCGATGCACCTCCTTGACTTCATGACGCCTGGCGACAAAAAGGCCCGCGACTTGCCCACAGCGAGTTTAGCTTTCGATGTTGGCCTTGTGGTTTCTCTATGGCCCGTACTTAGTCAAGGTCCCAAATGGCTAATTTATTTCGCAGGTTTCTTGGGGCAACAAACATAAGCTCGCCTTGGTGTCCGTATGTTTGGCAGGTTCGCCTTTGAATCCAGCCAAGTTGACCCCTGGTTATACTGGCCACATGGTGAAGGGGTTGGACTTGCCACATTCCCGAGCTCAGATTCTTCATCGTTTTAGTCAAGGCCCAAAAAGTGCAAATGTTTGGCCAGTCAGCTCAAGGCAATGTGATATCCAATGCATTTGTTCAAATTTGATGAGTTGCCATGAGATGTTTTTGATTCATGCGCCGACACATGTAGAATGAAGGAACGTGCCGAAGCAACGGGCGCTTCCCTCAATCTTTTTGGTGGAGATTGCTTTGCCCTGGGCCCGACCACGGCTAACACTAGCAAATCTGCCTGCTGGTCAAAACGCAGAGCAAGAATAAGTTGGATAGCGGTAATGGAGCACAAGAAACCCACCCATGTTTCAAGGAATCTCCTTTTGCATTTTGAAAGGCTCGCTTGTTGCGTTCCTTCTGTCAACCTGCAGGGGAGTCGACGTGCAGTTTGACCAAACTCTGTGAGGCCAAACTGGGCACTGGAGCGGGACGTGGTGAGCTATACCAGCGCCATGAACGCCTACACCAAGGGCTCGCCCCTGGGATTCGAAAGATTGAACCGGCTTAGAGCGTTAGAGGTTCTGGTGTCTTGTCTTGTTCTGCTTTTTTCTTTGAATGTTTCCGGTTGTGCAGAGGCGTCAAGGGGAAAGGTTCCACGACTTGAAAGGTAGACGGAAATATGAGGATATCTATGTGTCACATGTGTATATCACTGTCTTCACTGCTGTTGCTATGCCGTCCAGTTGTTCGACCCTTTGGCCGTCGCAAGCAAGTGTTTTGGCTAACTCTTTGACAGGGTTGGGAAGGAGTCTTGAATGTGTTGAAACTGTTTGGTCGGCGCAACCCTTGGAGCGAATCTTTGCTCAGTGCGGATGCTTCCAGCCACGGCTGACTTAGCAAGCAACCGATGGGGTGACTGGGGGAGGTCAAGCCCTACTCACTTGCAACAAAGCAAATCGACCTGAAATGACAGTTTGGGGTTGTCCATTGTGGAAACGTTTGTTGGTGAACGCGACCAGATGGTTTCTATGTTTGTATTCTCACCCTTGCATCGTTAGTTTTCCAGGTCCTTTGGGCAAGTGAGCCTGTCGGGGTGTGCTTAGACAGCCACAAGATGCAGGGCCTTGACCACGAGAGATCAAGCTGCAAAACCACAGGCCACTGCCGTGTTGGTCGCTTGAATCTCAATGCAGACCAGCACGAGGTTCCTTTCTTTTTGTGCTCCTTTCTGATTGTCCTTGCTTCCCCCTGGCCCAAATGGCACATACGGCCATGTCCGGAATGCCTGTTGCTTTTTTACAGGCCAAGTGTCCATCTCCCCGCCGAGGTACTTCCTTTCCCTTGCGCAAGCTTGTAAGAGCCTTGCCGCGGTATCCAAAAGCTGAAGGGAGCTATATTATCGCAAGAGTGGTAGGTGCCTGCCTGTGGGGGGGCACGAGAGGGGGGGACAAGAACTTTCTCGATCAACGAACGAATGACTGACACGTAGCTATCACTTCCATCCCTATGTGAATCTATGTGATCCGGGATCGCTTATAGGTTGCAAGTTTCTCAATTTCAGACACTGTTGCGACCAATTCAAGCAATCAAACGATATTGAAGAGATTCCGAACTCACGGGAGTCAACGGCCTCATTGAATCCTGCGGAGTTTGGCCTCTCGTGTTTTTTTTTCTCCCTCCGTTTTGGGCCTGAGGCATTGGCCGCTGGTTTTCCACCTGCTGCACACCATGGACGCAAAGCCCAACGCTCGATCCTTCAACGCGGCCATCGGCGCCGCCGTGAAGGGCGGGCGCTGGCAGCTGGCGCAAAGCACGCTGGAGGCAATGATCGCCACGCGGCAGCTGCCCAACATCATCAGCTTCAATGCCCTGTGCTCAGCGGAACAGGATTTGGGGTGGCTGAACCGTTGACAGATGCAAAGACATTGGTGTAAGCAAATTGCATGGGGGGAGAATGGCTCCCACGCCATTTTGGGGCATCGACGGGTCCAAAAGCCAAGCCCTTCAGGCAGACATCGTGCAGTTGTTTGTTGGTTTAGTCGGTGGTTTGTTCGATCATCATCGTCATCGTCATCGTCATCACTCCTAGCACCAACAACTTGGAAGGGCTCTGTGAGCCTGATGCTGGCTCCGTGTGATGCCCGGTGGATCCGTTCCAGGCTGCCATCAGCTCCTGCGAGTCCCAGAACATGTGGCAGCAGGCTTTGGCCCTCCTGCGGGGCATGCGCCAGCCGGATCCTCAGGCTTGGGAAGGACCAGGGACCGAGGGGACCAAGGGTGTCAGCGTTGTTCTGTGATTTAATCTTACTGTGTTCACAAGGAAAATGGCTCGTATGTTACTTGTACATTTTAGCTACAGAGACATCTACACATGCATTTGCAGAGTCAGGCTTACTACCTTGGGTATGGCCCTGGACCTGTTGAATGCCCACAAGGAGTCACAATACAGCCGCACGTTGGACGCCAACATGGGGCGAAGGCCTCGCACCAGCCTACCACCAACAGTGAGGGTTTGTTGCAGCATTAGTGAGTCCGACTGTCCCATGCAATCCCTAAAACCAAGTTGCTGTGAAAGATCGGATGTGCACGGGTGGTTGTTGGGTTTACGTGAAAACGTGTGTTTCGAAAGTCCTGCAACAGAAGCGTGACGCTACAGCCATGGAGAGTGGTTCGCACCTCTGAAAGACGACCAGAACCATCACTCGACCACCGGTGCAACCCAACACTGCATGAACACGGAAAGTGTGAAGACTCTTTTGCAGGGAGAGCATGGCTTGATTCTCAAAGCCTTGCATTCGGGCTAAAGACCGTCGGCATTACTTGTTGGATGCCCCCTTTTGTTGTTTTGGTTTCAAATGTTGGTGCATGGTTAGTCAAGGTTCCAACAGCTTGAATTCTTGCAGGTTCACATGGAACCTAGAACATCATTTTGGAATTTCCTTCTGGGGTACACCGTGGTACACCCCGTATCGTCCGAAGACGTCTGTTAAGCAGCATGGCGCTTGCTTTGTTTCCTGGTGCTTTGGGCCAGCCTTCGCTCCCGGGCTAGGCACGCCATTCCCCCAGCGGCCATCTCCTTCTGCGCGGCAATGACGGTGGCGCGCCGCGAGTGGGAGCAGGCGCCATGGCCATGAGGATTTTGCAGCTTAAATGGTCAATACATAAATTTTGTGGGGGTAAGTTGGCAACCCCTGCTACATATGTGTCTCTTGATGGGATGCATGGCTGCAAGTGGCCTGGCCTCCCCAATCAATTGGGGACAAGCCCTGGGGTACACGCGGGTACACACTGCGAAGGCAAATGAACAAGTAGCAGCCCGCAAAGGGAAACCAAAGGAAAACATACCAAATTTCTACCCTGTGGTTTGGTCATTTGAAGGCTATTGTGAGGGAGGGCCACTACTTTGAGGGGGAAGAACATCCTGGCTTCACCAAACCTATGTGACCGCAGGCGTTGCTTGCATGGAAGAGGTTCCCTGTACTCTGCTCAAAATGGCCATACTTGGCCCGCTGGTCTTGACGTAGACCTTGACGGGTACAGCTCGGAGGCCCTTGGCTTCAAATGAGGTTGAGATGGCGCGCAAACACCCCCCCGCCCAATTTCTGCAGGGTGTGATTTTAACATGTCGCACGAAGAAGAGTGAACAAACCCAACATGTGAATGCGACTGTCACAAGCTGCCCCACCCGTTTTTAAACTAATTTGTGCCTTGCTGATTGGTCGTAAGAAAGCTGCAAGCACAGCCCCAGCAGAGATTACAGGTTTTCCCCATATTAGTTTTCCTCTGGCAGGTAGCCAATGTTTCATGAACTTTATCTGCAGGCTGCCCTCGTCCTTGCCCAAGCTGAATCCGCATCCAGCATGCGGCCTCGCGTCCGCAGGTGCTGCAGCTGCTGGTGGAGATGGGCAAGCGGAGCTTGGTGAGCGAGGCGCCCGACTCGGTAGAACCCATCACTTCAATGCGCCTTTGGTTCCTATCCGAATTTCGGAGGGGTAAAATCACTTTCGGCTCAAGCTCCGCTGTTGCCTGAAGCGAAAAGTGATATTGCGGCTTTGAAGTGTGTAAGCATTCCGATGGCTGCGCGTCGCGTTGTACGCACTGGTGCAAGTGTAGGAACAATTGCTGCTTTGGCTGCCTTCCAGCTTCGCAAGTATCGGGAAGGAGTCCTAGCAGAGACAGCCAGAGCTAGAAAAGAGAAGTCTAGTTCAGAAGGAGGCACTTGTATTGTCGTTGGTGCAGGCATTGTAGGTCTGACAACGGCGTATTACTTGTGCAGAACTGGAAAATATGCTAACATTCATGTGATTGATCAGCACGAGGACTGCAGCCAAGGAGCTAGTTTTCAGAATGGCGGAGTTATCAATGTAGAAGCCATTGCTCCGGTCAATTCATACATGAATATGTTCGCAACTATCAAAAGCTCGCTGCTCTACCAGCTCACAGGTGCCGACGCAAATACTCTTGTCACTTGGCGAGCTGTAATTGAGCCTCCTGGATTGATGTTGCGCTGGGTTTGGTATTTTTTCAAAAATAACGATGAGGACAGTATCCAACGCAATGCAGCCAAAATGCTGAAATTGGGTGATGCGACTGGCAACTTGTTCGAGGAAGCGATGCAGCATCTTGGTTTGGATGCTCAGGGTCACAACTTTTGCCGAACGCCGGGTCTCGTTTTGTTTCATGCAGCCGACCCGGAAGCTACCGTGACCGCAAAGCACGCTCGCTTCGGCGCAGTGAAGAAGAAAATGTATGTCACGGGTCAGGAGCTAGAGAAGATCAAGAAGGAAAGTGCACTGTTAGGTCTGGAGGGCCACGATTATAACATTGGTTGCCTAGAGCCAGACAACCTAACCATCAACACCATGACTTTTTGCCAGAGTCTGCGTCGCTATTTGGAGAGCAAGGATGTACGATTTCACTTCTGCTCCGAAGTCAGGGATTTTGTAAAAGACGGTAGCGCTATCAAAGCGTTAATATTGGATGATGGAGCGAGCATTGAGGCGAAACACGTTGTGCTTTGCGCTGGCTACGAAACCTGCTACCTCCTCAGGAGCCTTGGGATTGGCGTTCCACTTGCTCCTGTCAAAGCTTACAGTTTACATATTCGAAATGCTGCCGTGGCATCACGTCTAAAGTATGCCACTCACTTGGAGGCTGGCATTGATGGACTCGTCACACCATACAGAGACACGCAGCCTGCAAGCGTGCGAGTTACTGGCATCAGGGATTTGGATGGTTTCAACACACTGATGCGCGAAGACCGATTGTTTGCTTTGATGCGGGTCGCGAGGAGTTTTGTCGGGACAGATTTCGATGCACAGACGGACACGACAGCGTGGGCAGGGGTTATGTCAATGAGTCCTGACGATTTTCCGATGGTTGGCCCTTTGGCGAAGTACGACAATTTGTTCATCAATGTTGGCCACGGGTTCCGAGGAACCAACTGGTCGATGACAACAGCAAAATTACTTTCTGAAGTCATGACTGGCGATTCCGAAACCGTTATCGATCCACAGATGACATCTCCCAGCAGGTTTGGCATTTGAGCATTTGACTATACTGACGTTTAGAGTGGCCCAGGGAAACTACATTCTAGCTAGGGATCCACGTTCTGCGGCCTGAGAAGCACCAGCCTTATTCAGGTCAACGATTTGTGGGCGCGATGGCAGAAAAGAGGAGCGGCGTTTGCGTAAAAGGGTCAGGATGAAGCAACACAAAAGGGCAATAAGCACACACGCATGAAGGCAGGATGGGTTGCAAGAGTAGAATACAACAACGTATAAACGAAGAACTGAATAAATACTAGCTGAGAATTACAAAGCTTCAGGAACGGGAATGAGAACATTGACCGGAGAAGACGTCTCTACATTCAACCAACACCAAAGCCAGATGACGCCAGAATCGACAGCTTAACAAAACAGAAGCCCAGGTCCAAGCATGAGCCTGTACAAAGGAGATGGACCCTGAGGAAATTGAAGCTTGAACAAAAAGCTTGATATTGAAAATTGCAAAATGAAGATTGAGAAGCCTGAGCCGGTTAGCCCAGCCGCCTAGGCAGGCAGCCAAGCAGCTGAGCCGCATTGTGCTTGTGGCATGCAGACAATGCCTTTGGGCCTTAGAAAGCCAGCACAACTAACTTTGGAAGCGGAAAATGGCAAGAGTCCAGCCTGCTGCACTAGCAACAGGGCTCGGCACTCAACGAAGCGCATGTGGGGGGTGCTGGAAAGCTGTTGGAGCACGATGTGTAACCAGATTCTATCAGATATGTCGAGGGGAAGTGGATGCTGTGGCAGGACAAACACAGTCTTAGATTTGGTTTCACTGGCATCGGCTTCCCGAAGCTACAGCTTAAGTATGATCAGTCTTTGTTCGAGTCATAGCTCGCATTTTGTTCAACAGCCCAAACAAATACAGACTCCTACTTAGGGGGGTTTTCATTGCAGGTTTGTGAATTTCACTCCTACTTGTTTTTCGTGCGAATGTTATGGATACAGTTCAAGTCAACATATATTAGTCGCGCCGCGAACTGGCCCGATGTACCATGTAAGGTAGTATCTTGTTTTTGCCAGCTATTCCTGAGAAGCTGCAAATGTTTGCACTGATGCCACTGAAGCCACTTCAATTACCAGGTGATTGCCCGTGCAGGCGGACTGCAACCTAAAGTCCCTGTGGTCTCCCATGGCTTCCTTTGACGCAAGAAAGCAACAACTCAGGGGGGCATGGCAACAGTGCTTCGTTAAGACTGCACTTTGGCGGCGCGCTTGAGGCGGGCTTCCTGAATGCCATCGCTGCCTGCGAGACAAATGGTCGGTGGCAGGCCAGAACCATGGTGCGACCATCAACTTGCAGAAAGATCCAACCAAAACGGGCGGCGGCGGCATGCCAAAGTGACATGAACAAGTGATAATGGCTACCTGAAATGGCCATGCTGGCTTGGAAAGGATTGTGAAAGTGCCATTCTGGAAGCCCTGATTTCTAGTTTGGGCTTTGCTTTGCTGGACCTTGGTCAGAGTAACGAGTATGAGTGTTTGCCTCAAGATTGCGATTAAACCGCCCACAAACCGTGGCGAAATGTGGCGAGGACTCAACAGATTCTCGCCAGAAGCACTCGCATGCTTTGCACTGGAAAGCCTGTTTCGGGGTGAGGTGACATTGGGGGCACAGTCAGGCTATCTTGGTGGCTCCCTATCAGTTTCTGGCATTGTCAGCTCACATCAAAATGGAGGCCTGTTGGAGTGGCAGCGATGCGTTCCGTCGTTGAAGTTGGCAACGGCTTGGGCATGTGGTTGCAGCATCCATGTCACGTTAGCTGATTTTGGCGGCTGTCCAGTTTTTAAGAAGCAGCGTGCTGGCAGTGTTGGAAACAATCCTCCTTGCAACTTGCAAGCAATTCGAAGGATGCGCTTTGGTGAAGAAGATGAGCAAGGCATTGGTAACGGAAGCGATCATCACGACCAGTTCCAAACTGTAATGAATTGAAGCCCTTGGGGCCAAAACGCAAGCTCCTACAGCAAAGGCCGAAGGTAAGTGCTGTCAGTGTTCAGGAACAGGACGTTGTTGGTCGAGAGCTGGGAAGCTTTGCCAGGCTGCTTTGGACCTCTTTTTCTCCATGCCTGACTACGGCGACGCACTCAGGGAGGGCATTTGCAAGATTCGTGGGGTCGTGCAAGAATGTCCCTGAAATATCTGGAGCCTGGCTGTTGCCGTCCCCACGCAACCGTGGGGCCTCGCCCCTCTGCAGGTTTGCCTTTCGGGCAGATGCCCTTCAACTCCGCAGTCAGCGCTTGCGAGAAAGGCGCTCGGGGAAAGGGCCGGGTGAGGGGCAAAAGGATCCAGATTCCGTGATTCGGGCTGCAGCCAAATGCTCTTTCTAAGGGGCGTGGGGAGGAGGACATGAAAGTCTGACTAGGTCTGAGCTGAAGAATTCGTTCTTTTCAAGTTCGTTCACGCATTCCAAACCACATGACCTCAGCATGTTTGTGCCCATCCTTCGGCTGCTTCGACAAATGCTTTCGCCTCCAGAGGGGGAGCCTGGAGCCGTGTTCCAATTTGATATCTGAAGAGCGACCCAGGTGCAAGCTCTCTAAGGACTCCTTAGCGCATGAGGGAATTCTTTCAATCAGGGTTGGGCAAAATGTGTGAAAACAACCGGCCACTACTTCCAAAAACGGGAAGCCGAAAGGAGGCTGCTTAGACAAGGGGGGTTTAAACATGTTCAAAGGGGTTGGCCCGACCCTGTTTCGGCCCCCAAGAAAGATATTCAGCAGGCCAGCAGTGGTCCTTGGCCCTCCACCTCTTCGCAGAAGCCTCAGATCCTCGCAGGCGGGGTTGGTATGCTACGATACCGATGGGAAGTGGAACGGAGCTGGTGAGCGCGCCCAAACGGAATCAAGGGGGCCCCCTTGGAATGGGAGCCATGTTTGTTTCAGTTCGTTTTTGAAAAGCAAACCATGGGTGTTGAAAAATGTCTCTGCACGGCATAGCGAGGTCGCCTGAATTACCCATGACGAAAGTTCAGCTGTTGGTCTCGAAATGATCTGACCCTGTGAACGTGTGTGGTCTTCCCCCGATTCCACTCACTCCCCGGGTTGCTAGATGTTGTATTGTTGGGGCAAGTGGCAAACAAGCAGTTTGAGCTTGTTTTGGCCGCTCAAGCGAGAACATCCAATCACAACCCCGTCAATGTACGATAAGCAGGTCTTCAGGCTTTTGAAATATGTCTTCAGCACATGTCTGCCTTTGAAAAGCGCCTGTCTTCGGTCGCTCGTTTGCTTCGGGTCACTCAGGGCGAGCTTCGGGCGCCGCGTGCGTGGGGACCTCGTGGCGCTGAATGCGGCGCTGGTGGCCTGCGAGCGCGCCAGCGAGTGGCCCCGGGCGCTGCTTCTGGCGGCCCAGGCGCCGCGAGCGAGCAGATGCTTTGCCCGGGAAAATGAGCTCCGAGATCCTCAGATCACTCAGATCCCCCCCCCCCAACAAATGGGCTTGATTCTTGTGGATGAGTTTTCCTACCCATTTTTCAGCACGACTCTACTTGTGAAGAGATATGAAGGTGGGCTGAAGCCTACAATGCATTGGATGCATTCTGCATTCCGGCTTCGCAAGGATTTGCAGAGCCGTTTTGGCATACTGCCCTTGCAATGACGGTTGCCGGCCGGAGGGAACTCCAGGTTGATAGCATCCTCAAATTACGGGCCAGAGTCTTTCAGACAATACCCAATATGAGGGCACGCGCAACCCGGCGATTCCTTTTACGACTCTAGGTGACTTGGATGTTCTCATCGATTTCTCCTGCTACTGGATTGCCCTGGTTGCCCACTGCAGTGGTGAATGGATTCACTCGCAGAAAGCGCTTCTTTCTCTTTTTTTGGATCCGCGGCAAAACGGGCAAATCATCCTGCACTTCTCATCGGACGAAAAGCCCACCTAGGTTTGGGTTGTGGAATTCTCCGCACTTGCCTGTGATTTGTGAACCGAGCCACTTGCCACTTGCCTGTAATTTGTGAACCGATTTTTGCCTTGTTTGATTGGTCTGTTGGCAAGTCATGACAAGTGGCTAGGCTCCAGAGCTCAACGTCTTCGTGGTGACCAGCGCCCTACGCGCCTGCGCCCGCGGCCTCCAGTGGCATTCAGCTCTTCAGCTGCTAAAGGCAGCCCGCGCACGAGATGCGGCCAACGAGCGCTCCTTCGGGGCCGTGCCGTGGCCGGCTCTCAAAATCGGCGTGTCATCTGATTTTCCAAATCGAACAGCTTAAGCTTGTTTGAGGAACCCTGAGGAGAAGATTCTGAACAGTGGAGGGAGGTCAAAGCACAATTAGGCTATTAGTCTCAGGGATTCGGGAGTGTCACGGTGGAATCCCACCGCTTATTATTTCAGACTTTTCTGAACCGTTGGCAATTTCCTTCAGCAAAATCACCACAATGTGCCTGAAAGGTCCTGCACTTCCATCCCCAAGTCTTGGTGGAACCTTTAGAAGCACACAAGCCAAGCTCAAGCAACCAAACACGCAGAACAAGCACACACACACACACACTGGATGGGCACAAATGCGAAGAATCCAGGAACGATGAAGAGACACAGCGTTCGACTTCCGTCCACCTTTTGGGCAGGGATGTGACCGATTCCATGGGTCAACCCTCTCTTTCAGATTGATCCGCGGTTCATTTTCGCTACACTGATCTCATGTATTGCTTGATTTTCTTTTGTGCGGGAAGAGGCTCGAACAATTTGAATTGGGACCCTCTCCCCTGCAAGCCTTTTGTGAGGGGTGTCTGATGCTGTGGGCTTGTGGTGGGCTGGCTACAAGCCAACCCCCCTCACTGCCATGTTTGTTGCCACAGAGCCGTCCAAGCAAGCTTTAGGCCAAACAAGGCCAATGAGGCAGCAATAATGGTTGATTCCGGGCATCTTTGCGGGTGTTTATAGATTTACCAGCGGCTGTTGGTTTTGGCTGTTTGCCGTCTGGTTCAAAGGGACCCCCTAGCCACGGTAATCCCGGTGAATATCCCAACAGGTTTCTACGAAACTTCCCCCTTGCTGGTAAGTGGCGGTGGCTCAAAGAATGGCAATGCCCTGAGGCCCTGAGTGCGTGTGAGCAGCAGTGGCCAGCGGCCATGTTTTTGCTGCAGGAGATGTTCGAGGTCCAGGCTCGGTTGGGAGTGCAGTGAGTTGAGCCCGTGAAGCAGCGGCACTGAACGGACTATGGGAACAGCTGGGACTTCCCTACTGGGAACAAGCTGTCCTGGGTCATGAGATCACCACGTGGCCATCATGTATTTCAATTATGTGTGTACCTACTTTATTTATATACTGCACGGTGTGGGTAGGGTCACCGAAAAGGGTTCCCTCACTATACTCTTGACTGAAGGGGACAGGGTGGCCGAGAATTCGTTGTGGGTTGCAACTATATACGGAATAAAAAAGCCAGAAAAAGGCAGATACCAGTCATGCCAAGATTCAGGCTGTAGAAGTTTAGATGCCTTAAATGGACTCAACCCTGAGCAGCCCTGAGTTTATGGAGTTGTTCTATAGCCTATACTTGTTGGGAAGACCACGTGGTGGTGTATAAACAGTGCAGAGTGTTTTTAGAAGAGGCAGCCCATGAACGAAACAGAGAAACACAGCCCTTCAGGCTATGTGCTGAAGAGGCTATGGGTGACCACGAGTTTTTTGTTTTTGCATTTTGTGTTGGAACTGTCAGTCCATGCACACAACATGACAAGGAGGACTACACATTGGAGGCCCATCTAGAACTCCCTTGGAAGGGTTGGTTGGGGAATGGTTCCAACCCAACAAAATGGTTCCCACACAATGTTCTGCGTGGCAGCTTGTGCTGTCTTGGCATCTTCCTTGATCTGATCTCACACGGATGTGCCTCAACTTTTCCACCCGGCTGGTTGGTTTCCCGGTGCTTCCTTTCAAGCCAACCGAACATGATCACCAAAGACACGCCAGTACTAGATCCACTTGCCATCGATGCCTGAAGTGAACCGACACCAGACAGCTCCAACCTTCGACGATGACGAGTGAGAATCGAATCGTTGCAGCATGGGTCCACGAGTTGTTTTGTCCAGAGTCGGGGCGGCTTTAGGTCAGAAAGATCCGGTTCTGTACAGGTATATCTCTCGATGGCAGAGCATAGTAGAGGAATCTCCGCACAAAACACGAATCCCCAGAAAACGAAAGTGACACAGAGCCCCAAGTTCTTTTTGGGAGGTTGTTCGAAATACCCCAATGGACCAACAAAAACACAAACAGAACCAGCAAAATAGTCTCCTTTCAGCGCAAGGTGGAGGTAGCGGCGTCGCACCTGGGCTGCTGCGCCTTAGCGCTGAAAAATGGCCCAGGCGCAGAGACCGTGGAGAAGCTTCTTGTCTTTTCGCCTCAAAGTTTTCTTGTTCCCAGCTTGGGGTCAATGCTCTTCGTTTTGTTCTTACTCTTTTCACATTTCGATTTGCCTTCATCCAAGTTTTGTCTCACCCAGGTTTGTATTCCCAATGTTCGTTTTGATGTTGGCCTGGTTCAATTAAGCAGTGTTAGCCTATGGGAAGGCAAAGCAATAAGTGACAAGCCAAGTTCTGCAAGCAGATTCCTTGGTGAGGTTCCTGGAGCCTTACCGAACGGCATGGCACAAGGAGGCTCAGAGCTCAGGAGTGATGGCTCTCGAGATCCTCGGCCTTCTTGGCTCGTATGCCCGGACCCCCCTCAACTGGTTCTTCTGGTCCATGCTAGGGCCACTAGGGTTGCTCCTTTGCTGTTCTCAACGATCAAAAGCCAAGGGTCGGTTTAAATTCATGTTCTGCGGGGGACCGAAATCTACGCTTTTTCCAGGGAATCTGATTTGTGGAGTTTGGCGGGTTTGAGGTTTGATGTTAAGTCAGCTTGCTCTCCCGTCGGCACACAAAAGGCGGTGAAACATAGCCGTGGCAGGAACCAAAGCCAACCAAGAACTGGCTGGCACTGTTTTAGCTTCATGAATCTTTGAGTCTTTTTCAAAATCCTTCTTGCAGCTTCTGGTTTTTGGGGTCCCTTTCCCCTTGTTTTTGGGCCCTCTTCCCCTTGTAGGCCCAGGCCCAAACGACGAAACGCGCCGGCTGTAGGAAGCCCCCAGACGTGGAGACCGCGGAGGCCGTGAAGACCTTGGCGCGGCGGCTGGGCCTGCGGCGCCCGGGCTCCGCCTCGCGCCTGGATCGGCCCACCTCGGGAGTGCTGCCCGTGGCCCTGGGCGAGGCCCGGGGATTTCTGTTGTTTCCTTGCTACGTTTTTTTTTGGTGTGGAATTTGTAGGTTTCTCTCGTTTCTCTCCTCTTACTCTCACTCAAGTCACTCTCCTTTCCAAGTGTCTCCCACTCACTCTCTCTCCCGTGTGTGTTGGGGAATTTCTGGGTTTTTTGGTTGATTGTTTGTGGATGGTGTTTTTGGGTTTCGTGGCAAGAAAGTGCGAGAATCAAGTTGGTCTCTGCCGCAACAGGGTTCGAGAAGCAAATTGCTTGCAGGTTCTTAGGGAACCTTGCAGAAAGTCCGGCCATCCCTCCATTCTGAAAAATCCTGGTGATTACCTACTCATCACCAGCAACACTCAATTCATGATACAAGCAATGGTGCGCATCCACCAAGGGGCCCCTTCAAACAGGCAAGGTGCCCAGCCACGAGGCACATTTGCCGTCCAAATTCGCAGGATGGCTCGGGGCCTGTGAGGCAGGAACGGGAAGGGCCGAGGGAGTACCTCGTTTAGATTGGGTGCGCGGTTGTTGTTCCGTTTTTTCCTGTGAGGTTGGCAAATTTTGCACTTTTGTTGGTTGGTGATTTGATCATGTGGACAAGGCCCAAAGCGTTTTTTTTCCGGTCCAGTCAGCTCGTCAGGTGTCAGAACTTGCGCATTTGTCCTGATAGACCCAGATCTGCCGTATTTGACTTGAAGTGTTTAAACAAGGATGAGGGGCATGAGAGACCCTCATTTAGTTCCCGGAAAGGGATGCCTGGTGTTGGAACTCTCCTTAAGATGGTACTTATCCGTGCCTTGTTGTTTTGGTGTTCGACTTCAGGTTCATGTCATTGGTTGGCATGCTGACTCGCAGAAGCTTCATGTTGGGACACCGTCGCCCATGTCGCTTGGAGCACTTTCCTTGCGTTTGGGTATGGGCGGCGCATTGTTCGCATATTGGGGGGTTCGCCGAAGTCTCACCAAACTACTCCAAGCATCTTGCCTTCGCTTGCACTTAGGTGGCTCCAAGTGCAGTTTGCTGCAAAGTTGGTTGAAAAGGTGCAGCTTGGCAATGAGCGACTGCGGGGGGTCCTTGTCAGCTGAAGGAAGACGAACATGATGTCAATGCGAAGCCTGAAACAACCAGGTTTACATGTTCCGGGGCCGTACCCAAGCCAAAAGTTGATCCAACTGCGCCACCTTTGGAGGTCCAAACAGGTCAGCTGCGTAGAGATCGTAGAGCCGTCTGTCGTGCGAGGCTGGGCCGCTGGCCAAAGGCTCCCTCCTTCACAGCTTCGAATTGGGGACTCATGCTTGCGTTGATCGATTAGGCCCTGGAGCCACAAGATATGTGCCGAATAGCCATGGCACGCATAAACGACCCCACCCTTCCTAGACACCTTCCTCCGTTCTTTGTCCAACAGCCTTCCAAGCAGAGAAGAACAGAAGAAGCAGGGCTTGCCCTGTGGATCCCTTGTTGGGAAAATAAAGGGAGCCCTCTTGGAGGGGGGCCCGGTCAATCCCAAGAAGCACGGATCCGTGTCCCAGGTACATTTGCCTTTGTGAGGGTGAACCGCTGGGCCAGTGCGGGGCCAAAGGGAGTGTGGACCTGCCGCTGTTCTCGGATAACTTTCAGGAGCCGTCGGCGTTCTTCCTTGCTTTCAAAACCGCTGTTTCTAGCCATTTCCAGGGGGAATTCCCTCGCGCGCTTACCCATCTGAAAATGTTAGCTGGGTGACTGTACGTCCCAAAGCAAGGGCACCCGACAGTCCTGGGGTTTTGCATTTAGGGATCCTGTCCAAGTGGACTTCACATGCGTGTGTGAGTGTTGTTTTCGACGTTGGACGTTGAGCATTCGTTTGTGCGCTTAAGGGTTCATTTGCATGCGCTTTGTCCATTCATTTGGCCAATGTGCCTGTGCAGGTGCTTGCTAATCTGTGCGCCCATGTCTTTGTGTCACGCCCTGCTCTCTTAGGCACGGGTTTTCTGCCTTCTCCCGGTCTGATTTGCTCCGACCAGTGCCTCTTCATTGGTTGGGTCTTTGAGGCTCTAAGCCTTTGCTTCCTGAGCAAGCCAACGGGGGAAGCATTCCAGCCTCCAACCTCTCTTCCAATGTGGGGCCCTAAGCCACAGCCTTGAGCCCAGGAGCAGGCGGAGAGGACAGTGGTTTGCACGAAGCGAGGGCGCAGCGCGCGCACGGACTTCGAGGTCTTGGCCAGGCACGGCACCAGCTTCTGGCCTGAGGCGAAAAGCTGTTGTGCACTTTCCTTGGTGTTCTTGGTTTTGCGTTTGAAGGAGAAAAGTTGTTGGGTTCCGTTCATGTTCGGTGAGGAGGGCTGCAAAGCAAGGCTGACATCGCAGGGGTTGGGAAGCTGTGCTCACGTGCAACCAAAGCACATCGACCTGAAAGCATCAGTTGGTTCTCTCTGGCAACCTTTTTTGGCGAAGAAAGCCTACAAGTGTGAACACCTGTTTCAACCCCGCAGGTAACTTTACCGTTTCTTTGCCGATCCAACTTTGGTTGAAAGTGACTTTGGCTTGGCGCTTCGCAGGTTCCGGCCCTCGTACGCCACAGAAGAGCTGATGCTGCTGCGCGTGCAGCCGCTGACGGGCCGCACCCACCAGATCCTCAAAAGGCAATGGAGCAAAGGAACCTGACAGAGGGCCTTGTCAGAGGAAAAATCGGAAAGTTCCACGGTGTCCCTTTCAGGTTCTGAGGGTCAGCAGAACTGCCCAAAAGTGAGCCATCGGCACGAGCAATTCAGGCATGGCAACCCAAGAGTGATCACCGCTTTTGTTTTGCAAACGAGGATCCGCGTACACTTGGCGGATCTGGGGCGGCCAGTGGTGGGGGACTGGACCTACGGACGGAAGTACGATTCTGTGGTGAGGACCAAGCGCCTCTTTCTTCATTGCCTCCAAGCGGCAAGGAGGGGAGGTGCCAGCAGCTGATGCTTGTAAGGCTTACAGAAGGATGTTGTGAGGCAAACAAAAAAGTCATCCGCAGCATCTAGCAGCAATTTGCGCCTTAAGGAAGGTAGCCCCTCAGCAAGGCAGAAGCTTGGCGGGAGGTGCGACTCATGCCCGCTCAAATTGAAAATGGCATGAACGTGCTCACCTGCTCATGAGCAAGGTCCCAATTCCGAGGGTGCATTCTCTCTGCACAGACTAGCAAATTCATGTGGGGATAACACTGGCTCACTTGATGAAGGTCTGATGAAGGTGCTGACGGATTGTCTTTGACAAGGTTTACAGCAAGCACCAACCCACCAAACATGGAGTTGTCCACCAGGCTAACACTGTCAATCAAAGAGGGTTCTGCACCAACCCCATGATGCTGCGCTAATTTTGGTGAGCTCACAGATCCACGGGTCAAACAATCTCACCCGTCATCGCCTCCAGGGATTCCTCATCAATTCATGTTGGTCCAAATTTATTGGTGTTATTTGCTTTGGCGGCGTGTGACAAACGCCATAGGGGTTTGTACTGACTGGCTGAGATGCAGGGGGTTGACCTCAGAAAACACGTCGGTTTTATCCAGGCCAAGTTTTCCCGAAAGCATCCAAGTTGCACAGAGCCAAGTTACATAGAGCCAAGTTACATAGAGCCAAGTTACATAGAGCCAAGTTACATAGAGCCAAGTTACATAGAGCCAAGTTACATAGAGCCAAGTTACATAGAGCCAAGTTACATAGAGCCAAGTTACATAGAGCCAAGTTACATAGAGCCAAGTTAGAGCCATAGAGCCAAGTTACATAGAGCCAAGTTACATAGAGCCAAGTTACATAGAGCCAAGTTACATAGAGCCAAGTTACATAGAGCCAAGTTACATAGAGCCAAGTTACATAGAGCCAAGTTACATAGAGCCAAGTTACATAGAGCCAAGTTACATAGAGCCAAGTTACATAGAGCCAAGTTACATAGAGCCAAGTTACATAGAGCCAAGTTACATAGAGCCAAGTTACATAGAGCCAAGTTACATAGAGCCAAGTTACATAGAGCCAAGTTACATAGAGCCAAGTTACATAGAGCCAAGTTACATAGAGCCAAGTTACATAGAGCCAAGTTACATAGAGCCAAGTTACATAGAGCCAAGTTACATAGAGCCAAGTTACATAGAGCCAAGTTACATAGAGCCAAGTTACATAGAGCCAAGTTACATAGAGCCAAGTTACATAGAGCCAAGTTACATAGAGCCAAGTTACATAGAGCCAAGTTCCATAGAGCAAGTTACATAGAGCCAAGTTACATAGAGCCAAGTTGCATAGAGCCAAGGTTAGGTAGAGCTTGCGTAGAGCTTCGGCGTAAGCAGCTATGTAAGTTAGTTTAGGTTTCTAATGCGCCGGGGCGGGAGTTTGATCGTTGCTCGGGATTGCGACCCTCTGCGGAGATCCGCGTGGTCGAGCGTTAAAAAACTGAGGACTTTTTACGATTTCTGCAAGCCGCGCGCGACCCTCTGCGGAGATTCGCGTGGTCGAGGTTCAAAAACTGAGGACTTTTTACGATTTCTGCAAGCCGCGCGCGACCCTCTGCGGAGATTCGCGTGGTCGAGGTTCAAAAACTGTGGACTTTTTTACGATTTTTAACATGCGCGCGCGACCCTCTGCGGAGATTCGCAGATTCGCGTGGTCGAGGTTCAAAAACGCGTGGTCGAGGTTCAAAAACTGAGGACTTTTTACGATTTCTGCAAGCCGCGCGCGACCCTCTGCGGAGATCCGCGTGGTCGAGGTTCAAAGAATGAGGACTTTTTACGATTTCTGCAAGCCGCGCGCGACCCTCTGCGGAGATTCGCGTGGTCGAGGTTCAAAAACTGTGGACTTTTTTACGATTTTTAACATGCGCGCGCGACCCTCTGCGGAGATTCGCAGATTCGCGTGGTCGAGGTTCAGAAACGCGTGGTCGAGGTTCAAAAACTGAGGACTTTTTTCGATTTCTGCAAGCCGCGCGCGACCCTCTGCGGAGATCCGCGTGGTCGAGGTTCAAAGACTGAGAACTTTTGACGATTTCTGCCAGCCGCGCGCGACCCTCTGCGGGGATCGTGCGTGTCGATTCGCTCTCGCTGTGGCGCCGTGCGAATTTGTTGCTCGCGAAACGGCCTTTGGAAGTTGTCTCGTGGTTTGCGCGCCTGCTTTCGCAATCCCGCGGTCGCGGGCTCGATTCCCCCCCGGTCCGCGGCAGCTCCGGCTTGAAAATCGCAGCTTTTAAGTACAAACGTAGTACGCGGAGCGTGCTCCTGCAGCTCCGGCTGGAAAATCGCAACTTTTAAGTACAGACGTAGTATGCGGAGCGTGCTCCCGCAGCTCCGGTTGGAAAATCGCAACTTTTAAGTACAACGTAGTACGCGGAGCACACTCCCGCAGCTCCGGCTGGAAAATCGCAACTTTTAAGTACAAAAATAGTACGCGAAGTACATTCCCACAGCTCCGGCAGCACTTGCGCAGAGCAACTTGCGCAGAGTCACATGCGCAGAGCAACTTGCGCTCTGCGAATTGCACAGAGCACTTGCACAAAGCACTTGCGCAGAGCAACTTGCACAGACCAACTTGCACAGAGCACATGCGCAAAGCGCTTGCACGGAGCAACTGGCGCAGCGCACTTGCGCAGAGCAACTTGCTCAGAGCACTTGCGCAGAGCAACCTGCACAGAGCACTTGCGTGCAGCAGCGTGCAGAGAGCAACTTGCCCGAAAGCAGCCTGGAACAATGCAGCTTGAGCAAAGCACATTGCGCTGAGCAGACTTGCGCAGAGCCACGCTTCACAGAGCCAAGTTGCGCAGAGCCACTCGCGTAAAGTAGCTTGCGCGCGCCAGGTAGCAGCGCGCCAAGTTGCGCAGAGCCATCTTGCGCAGAGCTAAGTTACACGAGCCTGCTTTGCAGAAACATACGCTTTCACGACATAGCGATTTTTGTGTCTGACTCGGGCAGGAGCCGGTTGCTATTGGCTTGTTTCTTTTTCCCGAAAGCATCGCGAAGGGTTCTTCCGCGCGGAGCCCTTGGACAAGTTACACAGAGCCAAGTTGCACAGAGCCAAGTTGCACAGAGCCAAGTTACATAGAGCCAAGTTACATAGAGCCAAGTTACATAGAGCCAAGTGGCACAGAGCCAAGTGACACAGAGCCAGGTGGCACAGAGCCAAGGTTAGGTAGAGCTTGCGTAGAGCTTCGGCGTAAGCAGCTATGTAAGTTAGTTTAGGTTTCTAATGCGCCGGGGCGGGAGTTTGATCATGGCTCGGGATTGCGACCCTCTGCGGAGATTCGCGTGGTCGAGGTTCAAAAACTGAGATTTTTTTGATTCTTAACATGCGCGCGCGACCCTCTGCGGAGATTCGCGTGGTCGAGGTTCAAAAACTGGAGACTTTTTACGATTTTAAACATGCGCGCGCGACCCTCTGCGGAGATTCGCGTGGTCGAGGTTCAAAAACTGAGGACTTTTTTACGATTTTTAACATGCGCGCGCGACCCTCTGCGGAGATTCGCATGGTCGAGGTTAAAAAACTGAGGACTCTTTTACGATTCTTAACATGCGCGCGCGACCCTCTGCGGAGATTCGCGTGGTCGAGGTTCAAAAACTGAGGACTTTTTACGATTTTTAACGTGCGCGCGCGACCCTCTGCGGAGATTCGCGTGGTCGAGGTTCAAAAGCTGAGATCTTTTTACGATTTTTGCAAGCCGCGCGCGACCCTCTGCGGAGATCGTGCGCGTCGAAGCGCTCTCGCTGTGGCGCCGTGCGAATTTGTCTTAGTCTCGGCAAACCCTCTGCGGAGATTGTGCGTGTCGAAGCGCTCTCGCTGTGGCGCCGTGCAATTTTCTTGCTCGCGAAACGGCCTTTGGAAGTTGTCTCGTGGTTTGCGCGCCTGCTTTCGCAATCCCGCGGTCGCGGGATCGATTCCCCCTGGTCCGCGGCAGCTCCGGCTTGAAAATCGCAGCTTTTAAGTACAAATGCAGCTCCGGCTGGAAAATCGTAACTTTTAAGTACAGACGTAGTGTGCGGAGCGTGCTCCCGCAGCTCAGGCTGGAAAATCGCAACTTTTAAGTACAAACGCAGTACGCGGAGCGGAGCACACCCCCGCAGCTCCGGCTTGAAAATCGCAACTTTTAAGTACAAACGTAGTACGCGGAGCATGCTCCTGCAGAAAATCGCAACTTTTAAGTACAGACGTAGTATGCGGAGCGTGCTCCCGCAGCTCAGGCTGGAAAATCGCAACTTTTAAGTACAGACGTAGTACGCGGAGCACACCCCCGCAGCTCCGGCTGGAAATATTTAAGCACAAAATAGTACGCGAAGTACATTCCCACAGCTCCGGCAGAACTTGCGCAGAGCAACTTGCGCAGAGTCACTTGCGCAGAGCAACTTGCGCAGAGCAACTTGCACAGAGCAATTGCACAAAGCACTTGCGCAGAGCAACTTGCACAGACCAACTTGCACAGAGCACATGCGCAAAGCGCTTGCACGGAGCAACTGGCGCAGAGCCCTTGCGCAGAGCAACTTGCTCAGAGCACTTGCGCAGAGCAACTTGCACAGAGCACATGCGCAAAGCGCTTGCACGGAGCAACTGGCGCAGAGCAACTTGCACAGACCAACTTGCACAGAGCACATGCGCAAAGCGCTTGCGCGGAGCAACTGGCGCAAAGCGCTTGCGCGGAGCAACTGGCGCAGAGCACTTGCGCAGAGCAACTTGCTCAGAGCACTTGCGCAGAGCAACTTGCACAGAGCACTTGCGTGCAGCAGTTTGCAGAGAGCAACTTGCGCGCAGCAGCCTGGAACAATGCAGCTTGCACAGGCCACTGTCGTGAGAAATCGCGCGGCGCAGTTCGAGAGGAAAGTAGGATGATGAGATGGAGCTCTCATGTGACCATACACACTGAGCCTCGCCGCGCGCAGACACGCTCGCCGCAGCGATGTAAAAAGGTGTCTCCGCGGCTGGATGAGCACCTGTGGAAAAATGCTTTCGGGCCAATCGTCCTCTAGTTTTATGCCACCTTAGCACGTCGCATTTTTATCAGCTGGATTTTGTGCGGTGCCAACATGGGCCAATGATTTTTGGGGGGTGGTTGGACTACCACTTTATCAGTGCATTTTAGCCGGGGGCGGGGGCGAGGGGCCCGGCCACGCAAGGTCAAAGCAGCAAGACAAAGCACCCGTTACCGAAAATCGCCCCTAGCCTTTCAAGGCATATATGAGTCTGCTAACAAAATTTGACAAAACACATTTAAACCAAAAAAGGAGCCACCAGGACAAAGTTCATACCCTTTTTGAGGGGTGGCCCAGGTTCCTTGCCCATGGACCGACAATCCTGAAGGGATTAGCCCCTAATGCAACCAGGCTGCGACCAGACAAAACGGCAATAGGTAAGGCTATTATCAACCAACAGAATGGGGTCCCCGCGCATTTTAGCCGGATGAAGTGCGGAGCCAACCCTGAACACGAGTACAGACCCCTGTAAACGCCGACCTTGGATTTGGTGTGAGGTTTGCAGATCCAGCTCCGGGACCTTGCCGGGGAGGTCTTCCGGGGCCGCATGGAGCTGCCCGAGGACTTGCGGGAGCTCCTGCGGTGCCTGGGATCGCCCCTGGAAGGCGCGGCACCGGAGGGCACCGGATGGCACCAGCGTGCTCCCCGAAACAGGAAAGGTTGATCTTCCGGTGGCCCACGCTTGTTTTGAGCCATGCGTGTTCAAAGGGACGACTTTGAGTTTTAGTACCCTCTCTTGATCTCTCTGCTTCCTTGAGCAAGCGGGTTGCCAGTTTTGACTGAATTTGGGGCCTTGAACAGCGAGAGTCACAGTGAATCAGGAATGCTTAACATTGCTGCAAGTTGGAATCAAGCCAAGGAAAAAGCTGCAATCCACCAGCAGGCTGCACCATTTGTCACTTGAGCACCTTTTTCATGCTTGTCCCTGATGCTAGCTTTCTCTCGAGAGATGACACGCTGTATAAGTTTGGCGGGAATTGCGTCCTTTCTGCGGTTTCTGCGGTGGAAGCGGGAGCCACAACTAGCACCGAGGGCAACTGTTTGTTGCATTCCACCGTTTCTGGATCCATAGGCCAAACGCGCAAAAGAGGGGCTCAAACAGCTGATTTGGAGGCTTGGCACGATTGGGTACCAACAGGAGCTTGACCTTTTCTAGCCCAGCCATGGAGAAGCTGGTTGAGGATCCTAAAGGCCCCCGTCCCCGCCACCAAAAGCCGCAGGGGACTGGGAGAACGCGCTGAGCCCCGGCGCCGCCGCGATTGAAAAAGGGCCGGCAGCCTTGGCGGGTCAGAGGGTTGCAGTCGAGGCCACATCCAAGTGGAAAGTGTGTAAAGGATGTTGAGTTCCTGAAAGTCATCCCAAGGAAGCAGTGCAACCCCCCTTTCGTACATCACGGGAACCGCAGGATCAAGGGTCCATTAACAATTGCCCGGTTGCCTTTGACCCAGGCCGTGGGCGCTGCGTAGCCCCTCACTTACCGGGATGTGGCCTTCAGGTTTTCTCACATAGCTTTGGTTGGAAAACAATAAATGCAAGGAGGGGTTGTTGATTTTCTTGACTCGGTCATCACCCAACCCTCGTTCCCCCCCTCCCCCGAGAAGGGAGAAGAAGAGCCTCAAGGGGTCGGTTCGGCTGGCAAGCAAGATGCGTTGGCATTGGGCCTGGCATTCCCAGCCCAACATGTAGCAATCGTTTAGCAGCAATCGGCATCGGCTAGTTTAGCCCTTTGACCTGGGCCATTCAGTAAGATTGGTCGGAAGAACCAAGCCGTTGGCTTTGAGCAAATGGCTCAGGCAACAAACCAAGGAATGCGTACAGTCCAAACTCGGTTGTGAGACCTGTGTGATGCCATGCCCGAGCGACCTGTTCAAAGGAAACTCGTGGCTTATTCGTGGCTTGGCTTGTGAAAGAGGCCCACTCACAAATTTCGAATGACGGGATCAAAGTCGGGCTACTCACCCAGCATTTTAAACCCCCCAAGGCTCCTGCCATCTTGCATATGTTGCGTAGGGGGCGTGAGTATGCCAAGAAAAAAGAAAAACATAACCGAGCTTGCGAGAGTTTTGAAAAGCACCATCTGAAGAGCTGGCAATTGAACGCGTGTTTGGTCTCAGGTACTCTGGGCAAGTGTCTCACAGGACAGGGTGCTGCACTTGAAGTGTTTGAGTTGCCATCATGTTCAGATTGGCTACGCGGAGGAACCTGTGAGTCTGCACAGGTTCGGCCATCAACCCCGCTGGGTGCCGTTTTTTTGTCTAGTTCCTCCGAACCCGAGCCCCCTGCGCAGGTCACCATTGCTGCGGTGGCTGAGGGCTTGACGCTGGCGTCCAAAGAGGCCCGGGCGGTGGTTCGGCTCGCTCCTTGCGGGAGCTATAGTGAAATGGACGCGTAGATGCTTTCCCTATTATGTCCTTGCGGTCCTTTGGGCAACTGAGGATGGGCGGGGCTTGGTCTTCTTTTGCCAAATTTGCGTTGGATCTCGCAAGGCCTCTTTCGGGTCATCCCACAGACCTAGCCCGGTTCGCAGTGGATTTCATCCGTTTCACATTCTATGTTAAGTGGGTACCTTTGAAATGTCCATTGACTGATCGCCTCCGGTCGCGAATCCACAGAAATCGTTTTTGCTTTAGAATTGGCGTCATTACTGTTGAGGCCAAGTGTGTTTTCTTGTCACTTTGTGCGCAATTCATGTCCATTGAGGTAAGGCATTGTTTAACGTTATAAAAGCGCGGGCCTGGTGCTCACAGTCTCCTTGGCTCAATCTTTGCTTGCTTGGTGCGCTCCATCTCCTCCATTGGTTTGCACTAAAAAAAAGTGCCGTTCATCCGCATGTGTCCCCTCCTCCCCACGAAACCGTTGGTGTTTTAATATATGTGTATATACATATAATACATATAATACATATAATACATATAATACATATAATACATATAATACATATAATACATATAATACATATAATACATATACTATCTTTTTAGATCTCAGGTTCCGTGCCGAGCCCCGCCTCGACCGGCCAAGGCTGTGAAGGGCTGCCTGCTCCCCGTGGCGCCTTGGCAGTCGGGATCGGATCGGGGGGGGTGTCAAGTAGTGTCCTTTGAGGCCACTGGGCTACGCGCACAAAGTGTGAGTCCAGTTCGAACAACAAAAGTCGCAAAAAACCTCGAGTTTTTGCACCTCGACCACGCCGATTCCCGCAGAGGGTTGCGCGAGCACCGCAGAAATCGTCGCAAAAAACCTCGAGTTTTTGCACCTCGACCACGCCGATCCCCGCAGAGGGTTGCGCGGGCACCGCAAAAAACCATGGGCTTTTGCACCTCGACCGGCGGTGCCTAGAGCAACTTGCGCAGAGCAACTTACGCAGAGCAACTTGCACAGAGCAACTTGCACAGAGCAGCTTGCACAGTGCAACTTGCAGGGAGCGCAATTTGCACAGAGCAACTTGCAGGGAGCCACTTGCAGGGACCAACTTGCCGGAGCAACTTGCGCGGAGCAACTTGCGCAGAGCAACTTGCACAGTGCCACTTGCGTAGAGCAACTTGCGCAGACCAACTTGCACCGACCAGTTTGCGCAGAGCACCTTGCCTGGTGCTGTCTCGCGCTTGCTTTATCGTGGAGGGAAAAGAACGCATCCTGCAGCGTTGGGCCGACCTCGCTTGCGATGTTATGCTTTCGGGCCAACCGTGGTCTAGTTTTGGTCGTAATCTCAATGAGCTGGGTGTCGCTGTGGATGGCCATAACTTGTCCATGGCTTTCAGGAATGGCTGGGGATGTTCTTGCGCACGCCCGGGCAAGCGCCAGTCCGGAGCCTCAGTTCACTGGCGACATCCAAGTGCTTGCCGAGCTTCGCCGTTTTCCCTTTTTTGTTTGGCGGGTTCCGAACGTTCCGAAATCGTTTCCTACCAGGGTGACTGAGCAGCAGCGAAAGGCAAGCAGTTGAACCCCCCTTCTGGGTTTAGTAGTGGCCGGCACGATTCGCGCCAATCTCAGCAATGTATTTTAGCCAAACATGACACTAGTGCCAGACTAGGCAAAGTGACGGCCGTGGTGGTTCTCAGAGGCAACAAAGCTGTAGACTCGTGGTTCCAAGTCGACGCACTGCCGAAACTGCCTTCTCCGGTCGCTTAAGCGGACAAGCACCTGGAAGACGGGCGTCTTAAGAAGGCCTCCCTTCACTTCCATGCAAAGAGGGTTCAAATAAATCATGCGTGGAGCACGGTGGGTTGGGAAGGCAGTTGCGATCAATCCACGGCATTCCTCGCACGTTCAGGGCCGCTCAGCTCGAGGTCTAAGCAGCCCCCAAACCACTACCCGCATGTCAAAATTTGTGCAGAACGGCCGATTGTGAGAACCAGCAACTCGTGGTGTAAGCCCGATGAAAGAAGCTTTGGTCCTAAATGTCTAACTCAATGAACCCAGGATTCTCAATTCAAATGGCCCCTGCCAGAGCTTCCTTCCCCCACTCAGAAGGGCAAATTACTGTATAAGTCACAACGGCAAAGCCAGTCGGGGTCATTTAGCAAAGGGTATCTGCAAATGCCCCCCCGACTTCAATCTATATGCTTTAGCCATGAATACACAGTTTCGCTTTTAAAGGTTGCCACAGATTGTATCAAGCTTTGCCCAATCCTGGAGTGGTACCTGCAGCTTTTCAATCCAGCGCGGGCTAGCGCAGGTGGTCTTAGACCTCCATATCCAACCTGTCACACCCTCCAAATGCCCGGTTGTTTTTTCCAAAACCCCGTTCTGTCAGCTTCCATGACTGTTGGAAAGGGCAACACCCATAGCTTTGAATTCCCAGTGGGAAAGGACTTTCTGCTTGCGGGGTCGAGGCCCAGATCCTGAATGCCATCTTCCAAAGCCATAGCCTGAAGTACTTCGACTTCGAGAAGCAACGCCAGGATGCATCTTGGCCCGATCTTTGTGGATTTCGATGGTCTTATATCAAGAAACTGGGAAGTCTCCGGTTGCTTCACCAAGATTGTTTGGTGGTGACCTGTTTTGCCTGTTTTAATTGGTTCTTTGCTCAGAACGTGCTTCCGGCCACCATGCAACTTCGCAGCATGCATTTGTTGAGCGAGGGATCCTTGCCGAACAAAAAGGTGTGGATTTTCTGTCTTCTTTTCAGTCTTCCTGTTTGGAGTTCACAGAACCATGTTCTTTGCCATAACGCCCACTCCCCAACTGAGGGCTAGGCGCAGAGCGGAACCTTGCCAAGCCACGGTCCCTCCCCAAGCCTTCTGGAGAAACGAGACAAAATGTTCTGAAGCAGACTTGTGGGCAACTGTTGCCATTTTGACCCCCTCTTTGCGACAAACAAAGGGACCCGCAAGCAGCTGTTTCTACTGTGTCGGAGTTTTGGGAGGGGGAGGCGGGGGGGGGGGGGGCAGAAGCCCGTATCATGCATCCTTGCCCTTGCTTCCAGAGCCGATCAGCACAACCCTGGTATTTTGAAGCCATGACCCTGGGCAGGTGTCGAAGACGAACCAAAGCATTGGACTCGCGCTCACTGCCCGGTAGATCCACTTCAGGGATCTCCCCATCCCGCAAACGCTAGCATTTTAACGCTTTGGCTGTCCAATGGTCTATCTTTTAGTCAAGGTCCTACACTTAGTTTTGAAGTTGCACCCGAGCCATGGACCATAAGGCCGTGAAGCCCCCCTGGAAGTTTTTCAGATGCGACTGCATGTCGACTGCTCAGGCCAACATGGCCCACTTTGAGGGCGACGAGTACCTGAACGTGCAGGAAGGCATTCCCTATGAGGACTGGTTCAACCCCGTCGCTGGGAAGTGCTTTCTCGAATATATAATTTGAGGTGACAAAACGAGTGCTCAGTTCGTTTCATTCCGGAAGGATACTAATGTGATGCCATTCATTGATGGCACACATCTCTAAGTCTGATGGTTTCAACATCCCTCTGAGTGGGATGGATTCAAACGCCTTTTGATGGGATCCAGCGACGTATTCTCACTGAATCGCTATGCCTTGCCAAAGCCTCCGTTTCAAGTTTGGGTTGTCATGGTTCGATCCGGGTATCAACAGCTTAGCACTTGGTTTCCGGCCCTTCTGGAGGTTGTAGTACCAACGAAGTGACGCATCGTTGAGATTTTCACAGGTTCGACTGAACTCAATTTCAATGGCAGCCCACAATCATTTGCATCTGGCATTGGCTAAGGAAAGACAACATACTCCGACTGCCAAACACACGGTGGCTTTCTCTTCATTGGGGTGCTGGGGCTGAGTTTGGTGAGTTGGCTTGACGGACTGGCTGGTCACAGAAGCTCATCTCGCCAGGAGTTCCATGACTACTTCATCCAGCGCCGGCAGCTAGGTGCGGGTGCGAAGCGCTTGCCATGTCCGGCTGGCTCGAGATGACTCAGAGAGCCCCAGTCATCGAAACGACATTCTAGGAAAGTGAGTGTGTTTGCATTGAGGTGCTAGCCGTTTGCAAGTTACAAAGTGGCCTTTTCGGATCTTTACCTCTGAGTTTCACTTCTGACCGCTTCTCCTTACAAAGTATTTGCCGAGAAGCATTTCGGCTTTGGACAGACTGGTCCCTCAAACCCTTGACGGCTCACAGCTTGTGCAACCACGGAGCGAAACGCACGTGCCGAACCGCACCGGCGCGCGCCATTTCAGACCGCCAGACCGCCAGGCCGGGAGGGCTTCGAATTGCTGCAGGGCCTCGGGGTGAACGTCCTCAAGAGGAGGGGCGCGAGATGCCACGGTTGAGAGTGTGTGGGGGATGCCGCCTGGAGTACTGGAGCGGTCAAAGGGAGTGACCAATCACCTACCTGCAACTGTTCTATTGCCATGTCGGACAGCCCAACGACCAACAACGACCAACAGTCTGAACTGTCGAGTCAGCATTTGTGTGATTTTCTCAATCAAACAGGGGTTGTTGCGTTTTCCACCGAGGATCGCGCGGTGCATTTTGGCCATTGAAAGGGCCAAGACAACCTGCCCTTTGCATTGTTCCCGGTCAGGTCTTGGTGGGAAGGCTTACTCACAAGAGCTTGCAAAGTTGTGATGCCCTTATATGGGCACGCGGGTGAGCATGTTCCAACAAGCACCAGCTTAGGCCCAGGTAATTTTCTGGGGGTACGGGCCTAGTACGGGCTCCTGCAAATTAGCTTGGTGCCATTGGTTAGCTTACGTCGCGGAATCGTGCAAGGGCGCCGGCAAAACAAACATGTGCTCACCAGAGGCGCAGAGGTGCTGAAAAGCAAATCTAGTGAAAGGCGCTTTTTTGCTTGCACTGAGCGGGCGTTCAAGCAGCAGGCAGAAGTGGGCTGAGCCCCTGCAAGATGAGGCGGGCATCAGTTTGAGGTCCCAGGCTTCCGCCCCTAAGTTCCAATTCCAATTAGCCATCCACCATGTAGCTGTCCCTTTCTGACGAATTTGGGAATCACCTTTTTGGGGGGGTCGCGTCATCCCGTCGATTCCAATTTGCGCTTGTGGCGGTTATTTTGCGCTGCCATGGGCGCATCGGCCTATCTAAGGTTTAAATCTGATCAAGCATGTGAGGGCTGACCAATAAATCAGTTGCATTGGCCTCAGAGCTTGAAGGATGGCTTGCTCCACTGATGTTTATCAGTGGATTTGGACTTGATCGTTTGATCATTCACTCCTGCTTGTGTTCCGTGCGTAAAACAGATATTGTAGCAGAAGAAGGTAACGCCGTTTATACAACGTTATGCAAGCTTTATATGGTCTGGAGTCTGTAGGTTTGAGATGTGTGCTGGTTAAGCTGTTGAGCTTCCGCAAATCGTGTCCTCAGAGCTATCCCTATGCGATGTGTGCATCCAAAGCTGTTGTGCGCAACCAGGCCCCGGTCCAGGAGCCATCGAACATGGGTAGTGTTCAAAGTGTTTGCAGGCCATATGAGTGCTGTCAAGGCGTTCTTTGTGGTGGTTGTGTTCCTTTTTGATTTGCAAGCATCGGAAAGAGCGTCCACAGCCACAGGTGGAGACGTACGAGTGGTGTGACACGCGCACAGTCACAGGAGCGCAGATGGCCATGAAGCAATTTGAGCCTCGGCCAAAGAAGTCAAAAAGAAAGTGCCTGCACGATTGCATGGGATTGTTCTGTGCAAGCTGGGCCGGCGGTTGCCTGTGCTTCAAAATTTTCATGTGGCAGCCGAGGGAGTTGCACCTTCTGCCACCCTTCTGCTGTTGTGATGGCGACCCAAGTGAAGCATTGTTGATGGGGCTGATGGAGTGCCTCCAAGGGACGTTCAGCGGTCACTCGGGGCGGGAGCCACCTGCTTGTTTTTTGCTTTGACCGCTGGTTGTGTGCGTGTGTGACGCTAATTGGAAGGCCACGCTACCTCCGGCTTGAAGCCCAAACAAGGTAAGGACTGGGTGTTCTCACTCCATGCCTCCAGCGGTGGCCTATTCTACAGGGCGATTGCTGGTTTTGAACAGAACGATGGTTGACAATGGAATGCGTGGTTCACTTGCGCCAAGGAGACCAATCAGAGGACCAGCCATCGGCACCTTGGATCAGAGCGAGAGTTCCTGCCTACCACTCCCCAAGAATCAACAAGGTATTCATGCGTCAGGAGCCAATCATTCCTTTGGGTAATGGTTTGCGGACCCTTGAAACGTTGGGGCAGCCTGGGTACTGGCTCAACGCTTGTGCCCTGCACTGGGACTCGTGTAGGGTACACTATTGGAAGCCTTTCCTGGAACTATATGTTCGAAAGGGGCAGTTTTGCTTTGCAGTGCTTTGCAGGACCCCATGCACGGACAGTCCTTTTTGCCGATGTGCCTATTTGCGCCACACGCCCTGGCAAGCCGTTGCACGACCCAGCAAGCATGTTGCCATCAGAAAGCCAATCGCCTCGGGTTCATCCGTTTGGGCAGGCTGCGGTCCCAGAACACAGAGGTCGTACAACAGAAGCGAGGCCGTTGCCGCTCGGCCTGTTCCTTGTAGGCTCCCTCAGGCGCACGGGATTGGCACTGGAAGTCCACCCATACTGAATGCTGCTTTTACGAGCTTGTATTTTGTGGATGGTTCTTCTAAAGGGCACAGCGTAGGTCAAAAGAACCCAAACTTACCTGCCCGTGGCCTTCCGTGGCACAGGATCTCTTGATCAGAGTTTCTCTTGTGCCTGGTTTCTATTGACAAGTGGCATCCTGCGTGACGCATGGGACGTCACTCAGATCAAACGGAAACACAACAAATAGGGTGAGCAAACTTGCGTTCGAAGACACCATGCATACACCACTGCCAGGAGACGCACCCGGAGACGCACCCCTTGCATACTTAGTAACAACGGTTGCCGATTCACAAGAGATGTTCGATCCGCACACGAGGCTGCACAAATGTAGGGCACATGCTCACCCACGCAGGGTGGCAATCGCTTGGCCCATGTGCGTTATCTTGCGATCACCCATGCACTATATTGGGCACAGTGCCTGGTTCTCGATACGCGAGGCTCATGTTTGGCCCTGGGTTCGGCAAAATCAAGTCTGGATTTTTCCAGCTTGAAGATATCTTCAACAGCCCGCTTATTTTTCTCATCGACGCTGGGCAACAGCCAACCAGTTCTGAGTCCATGGTATCGTATCCTATGCGTTTCCCGAACCCACACATCAGGTAGTTGCTGCCGACGGTCTGGCGCGGTGCTGCAAGTGGAGTCCCTGATGAGCAACAGGCAGGGGATTTGGCTGTGTTCGGAATGCCCACGTCGAGTCAGGCAGCAAAGCAAGCTACTTGTGATCGTTTCATTGGGTTCTGGGATCCGCAGCAATTAACATGAACCAACTTGTTGCTTCCATCCCCTGCTGTGCCCCAATCCGCCACATTTGTCAACAAGTGTTGTTTCCGCCAGGAGCTTTATGGCTCCGGCTCGAGTTCTGCAATGCCTCCTGCCGGATGTGCTGAACAATGAGTACGTGCTCTACGCGTCTTGGGCGCAGCAGATTCAGCAGCTGTAACAAAGCAGATGCCCACATCCCATCGGATGGTGAAGAAAACAACTCGTCCATTCCATTTGGAGGATTTCTAGATGTTACCAAAACGCTCACTTTGGCAAAAGATGTTGGTAAGATCCAATTTGCCATGAGTCAGGCAGGCAGCCTTAGCAGGGTGGGAGATGTTTGCAGAAGCGTCATGGAAGTTCGGCGCCAAGTCTATGTGGGGTGGATGGAAGCCGGGAGAAGGGCAATTCAGTTTTATGACATGGGCGTTCCGCCCCGCAAAATGTATTAGTAGGTGGGCTAACTCTTTCTGAAGGGTAGGCAAAAGGAGAGTATGCATGTCATGAAAGACAATTGTTGTCAGAGGGACATGGTGCGGGACTTCGAGGCCATCTCGCACTCCAGCAACGAGGACATTTTTGAGTTCCATGGCTGTCAGGCAGGGGATGCTGGAGATGGGGCGGGCAGCACGGGAACCGCAAGAAGTCTACCCTCCACCAACACAAAACCTGGATGTCAGTTCCTGAAAAACAGTTTTCTTGTGAAAGGAGGCCATGCAAAAGTGCCTGTGAACTGAGCGTGGAACCGGTTCATGAAGGTTCCTTCCCTAAAAAATCAATTCTGATGCGACCCCAACCCACTGCATCCACCTGCCTGGCCCCGGCCGCGCGCGAGGCCATTGTGTCGCTGGGCTGGCGCCAGGCTTGGCGCAGCGCGTCCCTGGACTCCGTGTTCTCCGTGCTGCTGGCGCCCCTTGGAAGGCACCGAAACTCCGGGCGCTATCAACATAAATAATATAAATACTTGTACGCATATGGTAATGACATGGATGTCTTGGTGGAATGCTAACCCCGGATTTATGCAATGGGCCATGTTGCTCAGCTGCCACCCACGTTGGAGTGAATCTGGATCATTGTTTGGGGGAAACGACTCTTATTCGTCCATGAGGTTGATTAATCCTCTGTCAACCGTTTACCTTGGTGTTTTGTTTGCCCCAACAGGGAAGCCACGACAGAACAGATGTGGTTTTACGCCCAGCCTGTTGTTGGCTTCCTGGGGCTGGAAGGGTTGTTTGTTTGTTTGTTCCAACGTTGCTGTTGTCTTGGAGGTTTGATACTCATGTCTCTCCTGCCAGCGCGCTGTCCCGTCAGTGAACCGAGCCACGCTGCTCGGGCACGAGTTGTGAATGGGGGCCATGTTCGATATACTCTCGGCAGAATTTGGCTGATCCAAGGGATGTTGTTTGGATTTGGGGATGTGTGTCTGCGCAAGTCTGCCAAATTGAAGATGCAGGAGCATCCAAAACATGTCCGTCCTTTGGGGTATCGAACAGGTTCAATTCCCTGCAGCTTGGCGCGTTTGTTGGTATCAGTTCATCCGAGCCAGCTCTTCAAGGATGGCTTTCCGCAACTCAGGGAAGGGGCTCCAAAGATGACCAGACTGGGAGCCATTCACTAACTTGAGATGGCTGGAGCTTGTTATGGCTTCTGTGCGAAAGTTAATGCGGGACCCATATTGAGGCTTATGATGAGCAGGGTGTCCAAGCACAAAAGTATTGGCGTGTACCCCTGTTGAACCGGGGCGGGGGGGGCCAATAAATCCATCATTACATCCACCCCCCTTGTGGGTTGAAGACACATCAGGAAAATGGATAAGCAGGGAGTGGGGTCCCATCCATCTGACCAAGGATCCTCTTTGCCACCCTCACGGTGTCCCTGGGCCAGCAGCAGCAATTTGGCCGCATTGGGCTTGGGGGGCCTCTTTGGTTTGACACGCCGATGCGAATTTGTAGAGCGAGCTGAAACTTGCTTTGCCAAAATAAGCCGACGAAAGCAGCTGCTTTGTGTGATTGGTGCAGTTGTACTTGGGTTTGGGAAGGCAGCACTTTGCATTTGACTAGATCTTGCGAAACCGTCCCGGCAGCAGTAGGCGGCCACTTGGGTCCACCGTGCCCAAATGTCAGAGCCTGCAATTGCTCGATTCAAGAAGAGACCTTCAGGAGTGAGTTGGCCAATCTCCGAGGCCTGTCAGTGGCGTGCTGCTGGTGGCCGCCGGGGTGCTTGCACTTTGGCGAAGGTTGGCGGGCGGGCCGGTCAGTAATCATAGGCATGGCCGGCGTTGGGACCAGGTATACTCCAGCAGAGCTGGCGGGCGGAAGGACATGTATGGGCTTATGGGAAGAGAACAAAACATCCGTGCTCATGCCCTCGCACCTTTTTGGTCGAGTTGGCTGTTCTTTCTCTATTTAGTTTCCTTTCTTTATGTCTTTCTGTCTTTCTTTCCTTATTTAGTTATGTCTTTCTTTCTTTCTTTCTTTCTTTCTTTCTTTCTTTCTTTCTTTCTTTCTTTCTTTATGTTTGTCTGTCTGTCTTTCTTTCTTTTTTTAGTTCCCTCTTTCTGTTGTTAAGTTATTTCCTTCTGATTTCCTTTCCTTCTTCCTTTCTTTCTTTCCTTTTCTTTCTTTCGTTCGTTTCTTTCCTTCCCTTTCCTTTTTATTTCCTTTCTTTCTTTCCTTCCTTTCCTTCCTTCCTTTCCTGCTTGCTCTGTCTGACCTGGCGAAAGTGTTGTGCCTGCCACGAAAAATGTACTTGACCATGCCTAGAGCCAAGTTTCTGCGCCGGGCACGAAATCTGCACCTCAGGTTGCCAAAGTGCTGCGCCCGCCACACGGTTGTACCTCCGTCTCTGTCTTTCTCTCTCTGTCTCTCTCTCTCTCTCTCTCTCCCTCCCTCCCTCCCTCCTTCCCTCCCTCCCTCCCTCCCTCCCTCCCTCACTGCCTCCTCTTTCCATTTGATCTGTCTGTCTATCTATCGATCTATAAATATATCACCTGACCTTGCGAAAGTGCTGTACCTGCCACGAAATCTGTACTTGACCTTGCATGGGGACAGTGCCTGCCACGAAATCTGCAAGTCAGGATGCGAAAGTGCTGTGCATGCCACGCGAATTGCACCTCTGAAGCAGTCTGCGCGGACGTGCCATTGGGGAATTTTCCGACCCTGTGGCGAGACCGTGCGCAAAACAGGGCTTGCCTTCGCGTGTTTCGCATGTGGGATATCGCGGAAGTTTCCTAACTAAGCCTTCCTTTGATCACAATGCTTGTTCTCATTCAGTTTTCTGGGCTGAGCATATTGTTTGGGAAGACTGTTTTTGAGCACAGTTTGGAAAGTTCCGGCTTCGAATTCGGCCCCAAGACACCGCACAGCGGACAGCCGAACAGCTCTCTACAAGTTTTCTTTGGAAAAAGCAGCTGAAAACGGGAACTGAGGCGGCAGCCGGCTGTCAAAAGAAGGGTATGTGGAATGCTTGCCGGTGATCTGGTTCCCCCATTACAGTTGCTATGGCTGATGGGAAAGGAGGCCTGAAATTGCTGACCAGAAGTTCTGAAGAATTGGCTAACGATCCTTCTCTTAGAACTGTTGGAACGATTTGGAGCGCGTGTGAAAATTGTGGGCCTTAAGCCGGGCGCAAACACATCATGAGGCGCCATCGAGGGCCACGAATGGCTTCCAATGGCTCTAGATTAGCTTAGAACGGCAGAGGTGGGATCAGCGATTGCTTTCTCGCCTTAGCAGCTCTTCCCCAGGTTGAGCTGCTTGCCCTTTCACTAGCTTGCCCTTTCGCACTCCCAACCATGCCATCCTCTGCATCAAATGAGTCACGCGGGCGCGCACACACACACACACGGTTAGGTGTATTCCAATTTGGTCCGCCAGCATTGGGCAACACTGCTCAAATATAAACATTCCTTCCCGGAGGAAAGCAAACAGGTTTTGTTTGAGCAGCTGCAGGTTTGGCCATACCCCGACCCACCCCCCCTTAGATGGAACCTGGCAAGAGGCTGGGGTTCACAAGGAAAGGAACACAAGTTCTGGGTGCGAAGCAGCTCTGATTTGGCAAGCTACCCTACAGAAAAACAAAAGGGGTTGTGAAATGTTTACACAAATGTATATGCATAGACATATTATTTACAGATAGAGATATGTATATGTATATGTGTACAAATAGAAATGCCTGTTGTTCTTTGACCCCGCTGCTTTAGTTACACAACGTGTTCCGCGGGCAGTTTTTGCTTTGCCAAGCAGCGCGCAATCAAGGTGACGACGAACCTCATCAAGCAGCTACTCTTGATGCAGGGCATGTTCGTTCTGGGAAAGCTGCTTGGATAAGGGCCCCACGGATTGTCTTCGGTTGCTCTTATCATTTTGTGAGGTCATGTTGGGTGAGTTTCCTTTTCGTGGGGTGAGAAATATGGGGAAGCCTCTGTAACGCAGTGGTGGCCTCAAAACGAGCCAGCCGGAGCCAAAAGTTGGAACGATTCATCCAGGTTTCGCCTATACTGGGCGACGGCCGCTTGGCTAAATCTGGGGCGCGGATGACAGGCTCTGATCACAAAGAACCTAGAATGTCGGTCCTCATGATTTGTTTATTCGAGTGTGCTTTCTTTTGCTTGGTTTGCATTGTGATTGAATACAATGGAAACAACTGCTTGTCAGTTTGGTGCCTTTGTCCGTTGCCAGTGCAAGCTTCGCGGAGTGCAAACAAACTTCTGCTTTATCATGTGGTTAGTCTTGCCGTGCCTTACTTATCATTTGGGGAAGCGGGCTCGGTGAATCGAAGGACTTGGCGTGATGTTAAGGAACTCTTACCCTCGGGAACTCGCTGCCAACATTCACTGGACGCATGTGTCTCAGGAAGAGGACGTGTTTTGCGGATGACACACCAGTACCCCGTGCGGTCAACAGTTCGGACACAGATGGAATGATTGATTATTAGCGCTCACTCGCCGGCAGTGCTAGATGGTTATTTTGCTGGATTCCATACTGGCTCCCAAATTCAGATGATGACAGCTTGAGGACACGTCGGCGAAGAGGTACTTTTCACGCCGGGACGGCAGCCAACCAAAGGTCAAATCTTACAAGGGGCCACGCTCCAAGAGAGGTATTTTGACGGACAGATATGATTCACACAAGGACCCTTGCTTGACCAACTCGGGGGTGTGAGGCAATGAGGCGCCCGATTCCAGGTGCAGAACTACGTGGATTGGTGCCGCATTGGGCTCAGCTACAGCGTCCTTGGCCTCAGCTATGCCCAATGGGCTGCGCCCTCTGCTGAGCTCAGCGCCTTGGCTCTTCGCGGTTCAGCTTTTTTCGGGGAAATATGGGGGCCACTTGGAGACTTGGAGCATGATGTCTGCACTGGAGGGTCCCTTTCTGCTTGCTTCGCCGCGCTCGTCAATCCCTTGGTGTTCACTGTGAAAGTGGGAGTGGATGTACCCGGTAGAGCGTCAGCAAGGGTTCCATTTCTTGACTAGCCCAAGGCTCCATTTCCTTCTCAACCCAAGGGTTTTCCTGTTGGGGGCATCAACTACCACTGGCTTCCGTCTAGCTTGGGGTTGTCAAGCAATGGAACCCTGGCGGTATCCCTCTTCGGTCACGTTCTGTTGGATTCAGATTATTTGACCCCAACTCGTCTCACGCGCAACCAGCTGAGTCAAGCCAAGATTGGTGAGAGTTGAGTTTGGGGACGATGGCCTCCAAGTGAACTCGGAGCGCCCTGGCTAATGTGTGTTTAAAACTGTTTATTATTCCTTGACCTCACACGTGATTTTCAAGCATGTGTTTTCGAATGTTCGGCTGTCCGATCCTTATCACGAAAGCTAGCTGTGCTAGCGGAAGTTCTCCAATCTTCAGCTTCAAAATGGGGGTGACCTTCCCACGATGCCTGATAGAACCAGGCTGATGCGCAAGACCAAATCCTTACCTAGGGCAACCCCTTCCCGGGCTCGATCCCCCCTGTGCCGCCCCCGGCACGCGCATTGAATCATGTTTGCAGCTGGGGAACCTGTTTTTCTAGACATTTCTAGACGTTCATTGAGGATTGCTAGTCCTAATATCCTAGCAGCTCCTGAGTCGTACATGTCGTCGTTGGGCTGGCTCGGCCAGCTTTCGTTCACCGGCCTCTCAAGTGTCTCCTTCTCATGCTGCTATCCATTCACGTATGGCACATCTACTACGATCTACAACTAGGGGTGTGTTCAATATCAGGAACCCATTTTCATTGGTTTTCACAAGGAACAGGGAACTTCAAAGAGACAAATAATCAGACGCCGAAGTAAGCAAGAAACAAAACACAAGCAATCCCCACAAGGAAACCAACCGGAAGCAAACCAGGTGGTAGCGAGCCCCATTTGAGGACCCTACCCCTTAAGGAACACGTCCGGAGCTCTGAGCGCTGTCGGGCTTTCCGAGGCGTGCTGCTGGCCGTGGCCGTGCTCTTCCGGTGGGCGGATGTGGTCACCAGCTTCCGGGGCTACCAATGGGTGGGCGAGAAGGCGGACATTTCGAAGCCATCGACACCCGCTGAATGTGGCTGGGTCAAAAGGGGATCCAATGATCCAAGACCTCGCCCCAGGATAGAAATCTTGTTTGAGGCTCGATTCAATTCTATTCAATCAGCCAAACTGGATGCTTCAATGGCCAGGGGAAGCATTTTTTGCGGGGTCGATGAGTCCAGTGATTTGAGTAAGGGTAAGAACTTGGCCCGGTTCGCTGGCTTGAAAAGTCCGGCCACGGCTGGCTTTGCTCGTCGGATGCGCCGCCAAGCACACGCCAGGTTTTGCCCATCGAGCGTGCGCTGCGCCTTGGCGTTTGCCCCTGATGTATCTTGCCATGACGAAATCCGCTGGTGTCGTTTGGCAGGGTGACGTTGCAGTGTTGGTCCCTCCTTTGGTTTGCTTACTCTCCCGGAGGGTGAATCCGCAGAATGGGCATCCAAGCCGTTCTCCCGAAGTCAGCTTCAGAATTGCAACACCTCTTGATCAGTATGTGCCGTGGCAGCACTAATGCGTGTCATTGCTAAATCACCCACACGCGTGGCAACAGAAAAGCATGACCCAGTCGCCAAGCATTCCTCAGTTGTCACTGGTTAAGGTTCGTTGCCCCTTCATCGTTGTTTGGGGCACACGGCCCTGTCCTTCTCTTGTGCGATTCCAAACTCTAGGGTCAAAAACGGCAGCTCAAGCGTTGTGTTCTGCGCTCAGGATGTCCTCGCGGATGTTTGCTGGCATTGTGTGCCTTGGACTTGAGATCTGGGGAGACCTCAAAAAATCTGCCGGCCACGATTGTCATTACATCGTTGACTACAGGTCTGTTAGGTAAGCGCCATGTTTCGAGAGGAAGGCCGAGGTTGAGAATGCACGCCGAAGCAGTTGTTTTGGCTGTGTTTTCTACATGACGCCAGGAGTTTCAAGTAAATGGGGAGGCAATTCAAACAGGCCCACCCTGAAAGACAAAGGCGAAGGAAGTTCAGAACAGTTTGTTTTTTGATGAGAAAAAGCACGACCCCAAGCCTTGCAATACTAAACCATTACAAAACCAATATTGATAATACTAAACCAATACTACCTAACACAAAGAGAAAAACTGAGCCAATCCTGAGCCAGCAACACCAACAGAGGCCCCAAACAGCCAAATTCTTTATGATACCCTTCACGGAAAACAGCTCTGCCCAGACATATGTTCATGTTACAGGGAAAGCCCCAAAGCAGTACCAACAATTAATGTTTAAAGCGCGGAAACAGAGAAAACAAATATGATGCACATGATCAGTTGAACAATGTGTTGACAGTCATGTCATTGCAGGTTCCTCATGCTAAAGCATGCATCGGGGGATTTGCAAAACAACATCACGTCAACCACCTTACTTGAAGTTCACCCAAGGGGAACCCCGGGCTCCAATGAGACAAAATGAGGATTGAGCCATGTCATGAACGCGTCCTTACCATTCCATCCGCAGAACGTGACTGCCAGCAACTGAGAAGCGGAAGCCTTCCAGAGTCTCCGTGCCTCTTTCCACACTTTTTTGAAAAACAGCCTGTTGGTATACCGTCACGACCATGAGTCACAGTAGTGTGTCGCAGCATGACGTGTGCAGTAGGGATCAATTACCTTGGGCATAGCTTCGCATAGCAACAAAAAGCCGAGCTTTGCAAATGCCGCCATTGCCAGCCGTCGCATCGAGAGGTGGGTGGCCTGCTGCGCTTTCACCAACGCCTACATCGCCCTCCGTCTGAGCGGCTCCGACACCTGGGCAGCACTGGGCAGCGTGACCGAGTGACCGAGCCGGTGACAAATATGTTTTTTCTAGAACCCCAGTCATTGAGGGCGATCTCAAGTCGAAGCTTGGGGCCGGGGGGGAGGGGGGGTTGACCATTCCTTGTGTTTGTTTGGGTATGTTCCATAGGGTCCTCATAGGGTGCTCCCGTGCAGTTCTTCCGTTTGCGAAGAAAAGCAGCGTCATGAGGATCGCCTTTTCGACTCATTCTTTGTGATTTACCGCCTGGGATTCCTCAGCGACCTGGAGCATTCCGTGTGGAATGGCGGCTCGCAGGAGATGTCATCCCCGCACTGAAGAACATGCGGAACACAGGTGAGAGGATGTTCGAGGGCATTGGGATGAACCATCCTGGGAACACTGAAGGCTTGGAAATCCATTTGTGATGCTCAGGGAAGCCCGACAAAGAGGACGGCATTTCAAGGGCCGTCGTCCATTGGATCCATCTGAAACGTTTTGCTCGAGTGAAAGCAGGGTCACTTGAACGGGAAATTGCGCGACACACGGAAGCAAAGACACTTTTGACGTGTCCTGCGTCACACCCCTCTGACTGCCCGGCTGGCTCGATTTCCCGAAGGACCCACAGAAGGACCTGGCAGCAGCCGCGGCCTTAAGCTGAAGGCTGTGTGTGTGTGTGTGTGTCATGTGCCAAAGGGATCCTCTTTACAGTTTCCAGATTATCAATCTCATGTGGCCAATAGGCCAACCGAGATCTATACAGATGTTCTCATCAGTTTGGAAGCGCCATTGGTGCTCCCTTGGCTGATGGTTCGCACTTTTTTCATACTAGCTTCGGTGGGGATCCAATAGATTTGTTCAGGCCGTTGCCCTGGCCCCCATGAATTGGCCCCTAGAGCCTCTGGATGAAACGGTCTCCAGTGACGGCGGAACCCGCCTCAGGTTTGGGCCTGACCAGCTTAGATCACGAGAATAGCATGCAGACAGATGGACAACAGGGACAGCTGAGGCGCTGGGCATTGTCACTGCCTTGATCATGACGGTTGTGATGATGTGCCTTGGGGGAAAAATAGATCTGAACAAATTGCAGTGACGTTATAAAGGGGGTGCGCGCCTTGGTCCCCATGATGAAGGCATATATATATATGTACATATATTATACATATTATGTATATAAGGGCTATATAAGGGCTTCCCCCTCTTGTGGGCTTGTGAATGATTTGATTTATGCAGACGGGTCAAGTCTGAGAGTAGGCCAAGCCTGAGCGAGGCCACATAGGAGGTGCACACCACGATCCTAAATGAGTCATGCTTTGGATGAGCCATGCAGGAGTCGCCCGTTTGAACACCGGCTTCGAAGGAACGAAGGATCTGAAACTGCGTGAGCGACCAGCTGGGTGCCATTTCTCATCCTTTTTCCCCGGCAAGCCCGTCAGCCTGCTGCCGCTCCAACAGCAAGCACGTGGATGCACTGTTTTGAGAACGCGTGTCCCTGTTTGAGACAGACCCATACAAGCCGTCCACTTGTTGCCTTTGCAACCCAGGTGTGTCAGCCCAGAAGGGTGTAGCCTGCAACATCCTGTTTTTCGTATTTGGCTATAACACCTGTGGTATTTGTGCAGGAATTTCTATTCACTCCACGCTTTGGGGCTGCTTCACTTGAAGAATTTAGGCAACCAACCAACCCCACCTACTAGTGGAAGCTCAGGAACATCTTCATCGGCGTGCTGTCGGAAAGCTGCCCGGCGGTGCATTCTAGATGCCATATGTTAAAATCATGGTTGGGATCGTGTGGCCTGTCATTTGCCAAGGGTGTCGGTTGAAACCAGAACACGAAGCCCATGCGTGTCGTGCTTTTTGTTTGTCTGCCGTGCGTTTGAGCTACTAAAAAAACTTTGTTGCTAGGGCAGACTGCCACGCGGCCACCCTTCGGAGCATCAGGCTACTCGCAGGCCTACCGGAACCGCCACCTCAGCTTCCAGCGCGAGCGCGCACGGATTGCCTTTGCGCACAGCGTGAGGCAGCTTGCACTCTTGCACTGTTTGGGGCTGGCCTAGGGTTGAACGGACTCTTCCGGATTTCTGGTGTCATGTCAGGTTTCACGGGAAGGCTGGTTTCTTCTTGACTGCCTTTGCAACCTAGTGTGAGGCGGGTGTTTAGAGGGAAAGCCGCTTGAAAGACCCCATGAAATTGATTAGAGCCCCCATGAAACTTGCTGATTGATACCTGCCCTTGCTGGAGGCTTGCCATGGGCAATCAAGGAAGTTTATACCAGTGTGTTGAACAAACCTAGTATTGGACAGGAACCTATTGAAAAGTCAGGTAGCTTTCAAACTTTCCCAAACCTTTCTGCCTTCACCTGCAGTGCCCAATGACCCTTTTGATTGCACGAGGGTTTTCAAGCGATTTGTGAGGAACAGGGCATACGACGCCTGGAGATCAACTTGCTGCTGCCGCAGGCAGAAGGATGCCGCCAGCAGTCAGCAGGCCCAGGATCCGTGGCCCCTGGAAAGGGGCGAATCCCCAAACTTAGTCCCAAGTTCTAAGCTCAACTTTGGATGGGCGTTTGCTTTGCCATCTTTGCCCATAGCCATCGGAGCCGGTTTGTTTTGAACTCCGCCAAATGGGCCAAATGCTGAGGCAAGTACTTGTGGTACAGCGTGAAGCGCACTCAGGCTCGCGTCGGCCGAACGGATCTTAAAGGATTTTCACTGAAGATATGGCCTGACGACCCAGCTGGTGACAATTCTCTTGATATCGCGGACAAGCCTGCGAATCTATTTGTTGTCCAGTGATTTCCTTGTGAAACCACACCACAATTCCGTTCTCGCACAGTCCAGTCCAGCTTCCAAATGCAAGGCACCTTGAAGGCTGCCTGTTCGGTATGGGCGGTCGCAGTTCCATACAATTCACCCGTCAGTACAAGTTGGGAAAGTGAAAGCATTGTATTTTAAGTGGTTCACACGCAAAACAATTGGGAATCGGCGGTATGACCGGGCCCGGGTTCTCAAATTCGAGCCAGATGGGACTCGACTGAAAGCACGTCACATCGTGAAAGGGCTTCCAGACCTGGGTCGCTTTCTTTGGAGTGGCTCATGAAAAGGGTGCCATGCGTTTCCCGTTTTGTTTGGCCATTGGAGGCCTGGGGGCTCTCATTGTTGATGGCCAGCTCGCGCAGCTTTTCTCAGCATCTCGAGTTCTTGTTTTTGCTCTTTGGGACGGTGGGTTCCCTACAAAGGCAAGTGAACCCAGCAACAACCATCAATTCCAGGGCCCGCCCAAGCTTTTCAGAAATTGCCAATGGATATTGGACCACTGCAAAGGGCCATTGATTTGCCCGGACTCAACTCCAGGCGCAGGGGAGCCACCAGCATCCGCCCAAGCAGCGCAGCAGCTCCGCGGGGAAGTCTAGGCCGAGACCGTTTGGTTTCCCTTAGCGCTTTGGTCGGGTGGCTTTCATGTTCGACCTTTTCCGCGTGTGGGTTTCTTTCTTTGGCAGCCATGTTTCCTCCAGTCATCGCGCAAAGCAGTGATCAACTCAGTTCAGGATTCCAACTCTAATTGTCCTCTTGAACATCACTTCTTTGGGCGTATATAAACATAACCTTGAGTTGGAGAGTGCGTTGGACGCGGTGATGCTTCACGGGGTAATTGAAGGGAGCCATGTTCTTCCCCTGGCAAATGAAGCCTCTAATCGGGTAGATAGGGTACCTTGAAGAGGAAAATGATCTTGCCCATGCTTGTTTTTGGGAGGCTAGCCATTTAAATCCTGCTTAAGTCCACACTGCTCAACCGCCGCATGAAGTGATCGGCGTTAGGCAGGTGAATATTTCTCTCGGTTTATCGCCGCTCGCAAAGGACAAACAAGGCAAACCCTTTGAGCTTTGTTTGCCGCACATGGGAGGAGCATCCAGCCGCAAGTGTCGCAATCCCTGGTTAGTGGGCACGCTGCTGAAGTCTAGCTACACTCTCTTAGCTGTCATCAAAGCTCGTGGCACTGGAGGAAAATGAATTCCTCCTGAGACCTTTGTCACCGCTTCAAAGGGTGCACGTGGATACATTTGTATTTGCACAGTGTGGCATCTGTGCTTGCCCCCAAGAAAAACACCGGAAGGGGAATTGAAAGGAGACATGTGCACAGCCCATTTCGCAATGCCAATCAAGACCTTTTGTTTGTTGTGCTCTTGCAATGAAAGTGGCCAGGCGATGTGGTTGTGGCTTGTGTTTGGTCGTCCTATGTTGTGGCGGAAGCCAAAGTGCAGCGGAGACAAAGCCAGTCCTCCTGATAGAAGGAAGGTTGCCTTCCGTTCATGCCAGCTTCTCACGGGGTTGCTTCAGGGAACGCTGGCGCACTTGTGTTGCCAACAATGGCAGCTTGCCATCGCCCAAACCAAACAAGTCGAGCCAAGGACACATATTGCCCCATCTGATTTGTTCACGCCTATTTGGGCCAGTCTTCATTATAGCCCACAGAATGATTCTCTCCGACGAAATCTCAACCTTCAGTCAAAGCGTCTTTGTTTCAACCTGCGGCAGGCGCATGTCGACCCTGGTGCGGGGGTTGATGCTCAACAAGACGACCCTCGGCGTTTGGCTTGCTGTTTGCTGAATACCTCTATGTCTGCTTGTGGTGGTTCCCTCAAGAGCTGTTGTCGTGTACTCCGCTTTGGGTATACCTCGACCTCCAATCTTTTTTCAATACGTATGTGGCCATTCGTGTACAGCTGTCAGGGAACTGGTGTACAACTCCAGAGGTTCATTCTCGCAGGTATTCCCCCGCAAGAAAAAAAAACACGGGAATGGAAATGCATTTCAAGGCTCCACTTGCCAAGGCTTTGTGCAGTTTGCCTCTCAAAGGCGGAAGAAACGCATCGCGCGGGGTAATGCTTTGGGGGACATGGTTGGCCCTCGGCCCTATTTGGACTAGTGACGGCGAGCTCACCTGGGAGTAAAACGAGTTTACCCATGGCAAAGGTCCTAATGCTCAATTGGGATCAATCCGGAGGACCTAGCAGGAAACTGCCCTCATGATATGGTCCTCCGGAATTATCCGAAGTTGACATTAGCAATTTGAACGATGCCAAGGATGGGCTCCGAAGATTCGGGCCGCAGGCAGGCTGGTGTGGACGGGGGGCTGCCAAGCAGCTGGCCGCCAGAACCATGTTAGATGACTGGTCCCTGGGGCAACATCTCCGGGCAATTGACCAGAATCCGGAAATCCGTGTTTTAGGCTGGGTGTTTGGCCAATATCCTGCTTTGTTGTTTCTTTCGTTCCTCGGACATGGTCCCGGAACATGGAACGGATGGCCGACCACTTGCAGGCCAGCAACTTGAAAAGGAAGGCACGGCGGTTGAAGGGTGTACACAAGGGCAAAAACCTCAACTCACCCCTCCCTGCCCATCATAAGGGCCACTGGGCGCATCCCAAGCACGGGATGAGCTGGAGGTTTATTCATCAACTGGAGACCCACTATGCCCCTTTCGGTTTGCCCAGAGCTTCCCAAAAAAAAACAGGCAGACGTCTAAAAACCCACCTGTTGGCTCCCATTCCAGAACCTCACTCGCCTCAGGTGGGTTCCACAAAGCGAGTGAGCCTCGAACCTCGGACATGTTCAGGCCGCGGCTCCCGCGCCAGCCCAGTGGGGGCCACTCCGCGCACCTGCCGCCGCCCCTAGCAAAGCCGGCCTTCCAGGCGAAGAACGCCTGCGCGTTGCCCATAGAATCGAGTTAAATCCTTCTTTGGCTGACTCAAGCGAAAGCCTGTCGTGTCGGAGCTTTTTAGGCACGCCTGGCTGGGAGACTGCCACAAAAGGGGTTTCTCCGAAGCTGGTCGTCCTTGTTTGTTCCAGATAGGGAAGCCCAAGTAAGAATCATCATCAACAAGAAGGGGCAGGGCATTGTTGTCGCAGGGAAAGCTGCTGGGCATGTAGGAAGCCCTACATGTAGGTCAAGATAGGAAAGTCGGAGAATTCAACATGCAACAAAGCAAGGTTTGCGCTGGGCGGGGACATTCGGACATCCTTCGCTCTTGCCAAGTCCATCTCACAGGCGTAGCAAGGATGCGTTGGGGATGAAGGCTTGCGAGTGGAAGCCAAGTTGTTTGCCCTAGGACGTGCAGAAAAGCAACTCTTTATTGACCCTGGCATTGGAAATGGCAGCTTGTGAGCTGCGTTCATTGACAGAGTATGTTTGAAATGCATGCGCACGTGACACACGCGTATGTTGTCTGTTGTTGTTTCTTTTTCTCGGAAGTACACTTTAGTTGGCAGTCGGACTGCAAGTTCAATCAGCTCACGCCGCCTACTCGTACCCAAACTGTTGGCAGCTGAGGACCCAAGACCCCAGTTGGCTGGGCTAGTAGGTTTTAGCTAAAAGGGGGCTGCTTTTGGTAAACCTTGCTATTCGGTATCAAACGTCAAGGGGCTCAGGCGCTGCTCATGAGCAGCTCAGTTTGCTTTGCGCCAGGCGGTGGTGCCAGCGCCACCAAGCCAGAGCGAGGACGAAGGCGCTTGGGCTGCACGCTTGTGATCCTGCACGATGCCTGCCATTTGTTCGGCAAACGCTTGTTGCTTCTGAGGTAAGGAAGTGAGGGGGGTAGGCGCGTCAATGTTTTGATCCTGAATCTGCAACTAGTTGGATTTGCTGCGAAGCGGCTTGCGTCCCGCTAAGCCCGTGAAGAATACAGAATTAAAGCTTTGCGCAAGATGTGAAGGCGGCACCTGCTTAAACCTCCACCCCAGCAGCACAGATCCTTGCCAGGCGACATTCCAGGCATGGTGCTAGGCCGGGCGTTTCCGCTTCTGCCGGTCCGGTGATGGTCCGCTTTGGCAGCTGGGCTTTGTAGAAACTGGGTGTGAAATTGCTCGAATTGCCCATACCTGGTACACAGCCCACGTGGAAGATTCAAAGGGAAGCCTAAGATCCAGGATTGCCATAGTTCAAGGCCGCAAATTGATGCAAAGCATGTGGGAATTTGGGTGTCAAGCGGGTGTCACAGCCGAGTAGCATCGGACAACCACTTCGTCCTTGATATTTGTGTTTGTGCGGTTTCTTTCGGCCATACCAGTTGGACGCGTCAAGCCCCCATGTCAACTTTGGAGCCTTCGGCGATCCCCGACGCAGAAGACGACGTCCCGGTCTGGGAGAAGATCGTCAGCGAGGGCCTGGACGCATGAGCCGCAGAATCAGCGGGCGATGGCCCAATCGGTCCAGACCCACCCGAAAGCCCAGTAAATGAGCAAGCCATAATACCTATATACCAGGAAAACACCCAGCACATCCCCTGAGAAGCCCATGAAGGTGAGCCGAAGACCTGGTCTAAAAAGCAAGCCCTAAGGAACCTGGCAACAGGAAGGCAGAAAAGCAAAGGTAGATCATCTGCACTTTTGTGAGGCACTCTGCAGCGTCAAGTTGGCTCAACGGGCTGTTTGAATGAGATCAAAGGTTTGGACGCGGCCATATCGCCCCAGTATCGGGAACAAAGTCCCTTTTTTCCGAACCCGCTTCGGGTATGGAGCTTCGAAGATGCACCACTCCTAAAGCTGGGCGCGCAGTTGTGTCGAGAGCGTTGATGCGGCGCGTCATGAACCCACCGCACACGTGAGCACACCGCATCTCCCTTTGCGTGCGACCAAAGCATGGCTTCCCTTCATGCAAGAGAGCCACAAAAAGAGAGCTCTGAAGCGGTCCGTGTATGGTGGTACCTGGGCAGTCTCCTGGAGAATCCACTCGTGGCAATGACAAGTGGGCACATCAAACTTGAATTTGGATTAATGGAGCAGTTTGAGTCATGCAACAAACGCTTTGTATTCCACGCCATGGGGCGATTCCGTGCGATTCGGGCCGTGTTGGAAGCATGTAGCTTCATGCACCAAGCCGTCACCTAACTTTCCACCACTGCTTCCCGAGCATGGGCTCATGCGTAAGGCAGCAAACAGTAATTATACAGGAATCCTCATTGGCCTTCAATCGTCATCGGCTGGCTAGTTGATTGAACTGCCGATGGCTGCCAATTTGTATGGAGATGCCTGCAGGTTCTCCACAAGAGGGCGTGGAATGGGCGTTCAAAATCAGAGGCTGAGAGCATCCAGTGGAAGATGACAAAGAACCACGGGTTCGACTTCCCAAGGTTCTGAATTGACCCTTCAGTTTTCCAGTGCTCTATACTTAGTCTTGCAGCAAACTCGCAGAACATTTCCAGAGCCTGGCTTGCCTTTGCCATGCCAATGGGCCACTGGAATGGGTTCCATTGCGTCCTGGCCGCATTGACGCATGGACAAGACTGGACCTGTTCAGGGAGCAGGCGGTCAAAAGAATCCTAGTGATTGGCAGCAGACTGGTGACTGCAAAAAAATATGTACCCTCGTTGGGAGAGTCTCTTTTATATTTCACGAACCCAGAAATGGCGACTTCTCAGGGCCAGCTTGTCTTCACCGAGGTTACATCGACGAGCTTGCAGATCGCCAGCCGCATGCCTTGGCCACCCGGCGAGCTGAGCATGTGGCTGGAAAACAGACCCGTTTTCAGGACAATTATCTATGTGGGCCTTTGTGACCTGCTTCAGGGCACTTCTCTTCGATCATAGCTCCAGCGACTTTCACGCGAGTTCACCGAAGTGATCCTGAAAGGCATCCAGTTCCAAGGCAGTTTGGACCCTGGTGAGAGCATTGTCCTTGACTCGTTTCTGGTCCACCGTCTGCAATTGGGTTCTTCGGGAGTGTACCTCATTTTTGCTCGCATCGGCGGTTGCCATAATATATATATATATATATATACACATATATATATATACTCTCTCCAGCGGCGGGGGCTGCCCCCAAGATGATGCCTGTTTCCCCTGAGTTCCCTTTCAAACTCCGGGATAGATGGTTTTGCAGGTGTTCTGAAAACAAACGCCTCGGCTTCGTGACGAGGCAGCGGTGGACCCCACAGGCGCCTGGAGCTACGCCGAGCTGCGAGGTGCAGCGCGGCGAGTGGCGCAGCGCTTGGTGGCGTGGGGCCTCGAGGCGGCCCGGCGGGGCGGCGGGCAGAGGGCGTTTTGCCACGTCTCCATCTAACAAATGGCACTTGATATAGAGGTTCATTGGAGAAATTGACAATACCAGATGCCCTTCCTTTTAGTTATATATGCGTTGTTGCTTTTATGTCCTCTACCCTAATCAAATGGGGGGGGGTGATGTGTTACCCTTTTAGGTCATCTGAAAGAGTTTGAGAGCGATCTAAAAGGATTCCCTGAACTGGTTCAACGTTTGGGTAGGGAGCATAAACCCCCTGGCTATGAAGGGGGGCCCCTGTCCACATGAAAAGACCCGGTCTTATCCATGTCCCATCGATTGCCTTGGGCCTTGGTTGGCAAAGGAAGCGGAGTGCCATGTTACAACCGCTTGCGCGCCCCAATTTGGGTTCATGAATCATGCCTGGGAGTCATGATTCACGAGCCAGAACCCCAATCTACTCCAAACGTGGCAAACGAAAGACAACCCAAACGCCAGAAGAAATCTCGCCAGGCGGGGCCTCATGACTTCCAGTGAGGGGTGGGGGCTGACAGCTGGTGACAGTTTGTGTGGCCTTTAGAGGCAGTTAGCAGCCCAGGCCGGATTGTGCCTATTGCGATTGCGGTTGGCGCCCTTTTCGTTGCCAAAGTGCATGTAAAAGCATTCGGCACTCAGGCGGGTAAGATGCAAACCTGAGCCTAGATTTCCCTTCAGGCCTACTTGGTGGGAGAAACTGGTTCCGGCTGTCCATGTTTGCTTTGGCGCTTTGACGATCAACGAGTTTAATCTTAATTCCGCGTTTGGGATCAGGTGGCCCAACCACTAGGCTTCCTTTGCGCTCGGTTGTCCTCAGGCGGGGTCTGCGCGGCCGGTAGCTTTGACTCTTCCACGGGGCCGCCTGTGCCACGGCCCGTGGAACTTGTGGAGAGTCTGGTGGGGTTGGTGCCCCTGAACTTTATAGATATATCTTACATTTATGCGTGCAATTTATGCATCTATGCATTTATTCTACTACCTCAGCCAGTTTTGGCCCAAAGTCAGACACTGGTTGGGGGCACTGTTTCAGGCAGCATTTACTTGAAACCCAGTATGCCAAACCAAAAACCCGTTTTGATCAAAGTCTCTTGAAGGAATCTGAGAATGCACCTAGGCGTAGCTATTATGTGATATCACGCAGGCTCTGCAAAGTATAATGCTCTTGGAAGTTGTGAGCAGGCGCAGGCTGTTGACTGAAGAATTGTAATCAGTTGTAACGTTTGGCAACGCACATTCACTAAACAACCATCAGCATTCCATTGGTCAACGAGGAAGTTCTTCACAAATCCCAGAGAAACGTGAACTTTGCAACATCAGCGAATTTCTGGCACACGCCTTTCACTTGGAAACTGGAGTCCACCGGCTTGGGTTTGCCACTTGAAGACTTGAGGTGGTACGCAGTGTGCTATGCCTGCTGGCACCTTGGAGTTCCGGTGGCGGCCATTGATGAGATGCCGGACAAGGATGGCTTGGGAGTCCTCCATGGATTTGGTGATGGGATATGTTGCCACCATTTTTGCTGGCGTCCCAACTTGGAAACGCCCCAAGGAAAAGTGCAGTAAAATCTGTGCTACCACTTTTGACTTCTTCTTTTTCGCAAGAGGGCCATTGGCTCCGCGGGATGGCTTGGACGAAAGCGATGACTTGGGCACCCAGGGTTTTACTTTTGACCATCGAATTTTGGGGTGGGTGGTGGGGTGGTGGGGTGGTGGGGTGGTGGGGTGGTGGGGTGGTGGGGTGGTGGGGAAAAACCTTTTAAAAGCACGTGAAGGCATGTGCGAAATGTGCCTTTGAATTTGCATTTGCCAAATGCTTTTTAACATAAGCACCTGGAGCCTGATGAATATTCAGACTGTTTTGGGGGGCAGGCCTTACACAGAATGCCTAAATGTGAGTTGCACATGTTTATTCATGTGTTCGAGAAAAAGCCTCGTCGAACTAATCTCGCAAATCCATGCTGAGTATGTTGCAAGTTCTGGCTCACTTGGCCCAAGCCCGAAGCTTGCAAGAATATCTCCTGGACATGGATAGGCCAGTGCACCGGAGTCACGAGCCTTCCTTCAGCTCCGAGTTTCGGCGCGTGGATGCATGGTGAATGGTCCGATGGGCAGCCAGCGCCGTGGTTGAATGAGGCAAAACCTTTTGACAGCTCCCAGAAGCATTCTATCGTCATTGTCCGGCTGTGCAGGGCCATCCTACGTGCAGCCGCCCCTGCGCGTTTGAAGTGCAGGAACGGAGCGCAGTGCAGTTCCTGTCACGAGCAACATGGCCGCGGCCGTTCAAGAATTGCAAAGCCCAAGAATTCGCAGCCTGACAAGCTGCTGCCATTTGTGAGGTCCATCCACTGTTGGCCCTCAACACTTTGTCCTACGAAGCAAATTTCAGAGAGAATGACCAAGAAGTTACAGCGCGGCTTGATGGACAACAACCTCCGTGATTTGGCGGAGCTTGAGTTGTGTCACCATGGGACGCCGCAGCTTCAGAGTACTTGGTCGGGCCTTACGAATCTTCAGAGCTTGAGAGGGTGTTTCCTATTCGCTCAGCGCGTTTTTCCCCTTGTCGAACTCGCCTGCTGGCAACGTACCTGCCTTTAGTTGTCATCAAGGCACGTTTGAAATGTATAAATGTGGGAATGACAACATCCCTGGTGATTGTTTGAGTGTGCCAGCACATGTTTTTGCAGTCGGGCTGTCAACCGTCAGTGCAAAACCCACGTTTCGGAGCAGTGCAAAACCTACGTTTCGGAGCAAGGAGCTTGCTTTTGTTCTTTCTCAGTTGCGCGCCGGCGGCTTCCAGGGATGGTAAGCACACCCCCGCTCAGCACTGCATCCATGCCAGCCAAATGGTAAGCACACCCACTCACGCGCGCCCGCTGAGCACTGAATCCATGCCAGCCAAATGGTAACCCACCCAGCACTGAATCCATGCCACCCAATTGGTAACGCACCCGTGACCGCGGGCACCTGCTCAGCACTGAATCCATGCCAGCCAAATGGTAAGAACACCCGCTCACGCGCACCTGCTCAGCACTGAATCCATGCCAGCCAAATGGTAAGAACACCCGCTCACGCGCACCCGCTCAGCACTGAATCCATGCCAGGCCATTGCAGTAACACATTTGCCTGATTGAAGTCACCTTTGCCAGG